GATAAGTTCCAAGTCCCTTTAACTATAAGCTTTTCCCTCAACAGCAGTCCGATTATTAAATCCAACACTCCCGCCCGCCAACAAAACAAACCCATTATTTCCGTCGCGTCGCCCCAAGCGTTCATAGGGTTGTTTCGTTCGGGCCGCGCTGACCAATTTGCTGCGCCTCGGATTTCTCGCCAAACGCCCCCCTCAGCCCATGTTCCCCTGAAAAATTTATTGAGTCTCGGGTGGGTGGGCGCAGGCGAGAAAAATCGGGAATTATTCGGGTTAATCGGAAAGTGAGCAACAGACAAAAACGAAGCTGACGAATTTCAGGAATCGGTGTCAATCCCCGATGGCTACGAGGTCAGCGAGATTTCACCTTACGAGGAGGCCGAGCTGGTCAACTCGACTTGGCGATATGCCAAGGAGGGAGATTTGGAGCAGACTGTGTACGTTTTTGCGAACCGAATTACCGAAAACTCAAACCCAGAATGCGGTCACACTCCCTTTAATGAAAGAAATCTCTTACTTTCCAGTGCCAAGCTCGCTCGACTCCCCTCTTCTTGTGTCCGGCACAACGGCGACCCGGTTGCCTTCGAAATGCTAGACCCGGCCGGATTTCTGAACCACCAATTTGTCTTCGAAGATCATCGACGGCGAGGTCTAGGCAACGCCGTTGAGTTGTTGCTCACTCAGAAGTGCATTAGGTATGTTTCATGGACTTCGCGACATTAAGTGTTGTCTAACAAGCCCAAGATCGAACCTAAGCCAGCCTAAGCCTAAGTCTAGGCCTTATCCTACGCCTAAGCCTCATCCTAAGCCTCAGCTACCAAGATGTAGTGGATGTTTTCGCTTCGACGTCCCTTGAAACGATCTACGCTTCTGTTTAGCTAAATCCCGCCAAAAATGCTTGGCAATATCTCGTAGTTATTTGCTTATCCATCCCCAAACTAATCCTCCCTTTTTTCAGAAATAAAATGACCCCGTTCAAGACGGTCTCCAAGAGCAACCGCATTGTTCTCGACGCGACCGCCAAGGTAAGCTTTCAATCACAGGAGCCGTCAACGTAAGTCGTCACTGGCGAGGGGAAAATTAATATCTAAAACTCTCAAAATGTTATTTTATTTTAGAACCGCTTCTGGACGCGTTGGGAGGAAAATGGTCAGCCGGTGACGGTCATTTTTCAGACGTGGGCGCCCGAGTCGTCCCCTTCCTAAAAAACTATTCCACATGTTGACCAAACTATTTTTCCGTGTTTGTACTATGTACGTGTATGTATTAGCCACCGTGCTAGCCACCGTAGTCTACAAAGCAGTTTATTAGGGGCTCGATATCGATAGGATTCCTGACCCCCATCCCCCACGGTATTACATAGCCGGGTGTACTCACGAGCTGTGTATAACCAATTTAATAATGTAATTTATACAAATATGTATAATATATATGTATCTAAGGGGGTTAGAAATTGGTGGTCTGACTATTTCTCGTTTTCTCTCTCTCTCTCTCACTCTCTCCCCTACAAACAGTCAGACCGCCTATTTTTAGCCCTCAATTACATGACCCTTCCTTATTTTTGTAGTGCCCCGTAGCACCCACCAAAAGCGACCGGAAATTTATGGCCATCCGGCGGGGCGCCTGAATGATTAGACACAAAGCCCCCCCTACTGAATCCTCACAGTGCACATGTCTGTGTGCCGAAATTGTCGATGCTGATAAAAAGCTATCGATCGTCGTGGGACAAAGTAATCCAAAATACACACTATGTACATTTAAATCTGTGCAAAAATTCTTAAAATTTCATTCATAGCAGTCTTTGAAAACATCACAAGGCCTTCTTAACACCGAGATCAAAAATAAAGGCTGGGTTTCGATTTTACAGAGAATCCGGAAAATAGTGAATGTCGACACAACAGTTTTTTGGTGTTCATCAATTTTGAACTTTCAGAAATCAACCTCTTTGAGAGATTTACACTTTTAATAAGCCTAAAAAGTCTGCTTCATCGTCGAAATGGGTTCCGGTTCCGGTTCCGATCTGAGAGGAATCGCAGCTGAAAACCCGACAGCCAAAATACCGACAAGCCAGGATGCAAAAAGTCCAAGGCAAGGTCCCGACCGACATATTCTTCAGGCTAATTTAGTCGTTAGTCTTGCTAAACGGCTTGTGGCCATCTCGGCGGTCGGTATTTTGGCTGTTGGCATTTCGGTTGTCGGTATTTTGGATTTTGGGCGTTTCGGCGTCGGTATTTTCGCGTTTTCGCGCCAGGATGTTAAGAATGAATGTCCCCCGGAAGGATCCGACATATCCTTCGATCTTTCATCTGAGATATTCAAAAATTTACTCGAAGAAACTACCTAGAATCTCAATTGTTCTCTTATCCACAAATCCTAATAAAGTCTTGGGTCCTGCAAGGGTAAAAATGAAAATTTTGCTTTTCGTATCGCCTCTAATGTACTAAAAAGTCCATCACTCAACTTTCAAAAAAATCTTGTGGTAATCTACCCAAGCAGTTGCAGAACCCACTCGCTGCCCTGAACCCATTTGCAGCATTCTTCTGGCATGCCATCCGCTGGTATTGGTTTTCCGAAACAGCTGTTCCTCGACGCACCCGTTCGGCTTATCAGCTTTGGGATAACTGCCAGTTGACACAAGTCTTTGGACTGCTTCTTCTTCTGCCTCATCCCGACAAGTTCCGGAGAGCCACACCCAGGTTTTTGCACGACGAAAACCATAAAGGGTAGAAAGTGAGGGGCGTCGCCCCGGAATCGGCACACGGGACACCCACCAAAAGAGTCTTACTACGGGCGGAGGCTTGGAAACCCCAGCATCCCCGGCTTATCACGGCAATTTAACAGCAATAAACAAGACTTGGAGGGTAGGAGAGGAGGCCCGATCAAAGAATCGAAACTATCTTACGTTATTGAACCGCACGCCGTGGTAGTGGTTGTTGCATCGGCTGGTTGCTTCTTCCCCGTCAATTCCTTACCTTACGGCTACCGGCAGTTATCTTTTTATAAAATTTCACAAATATATGGTTCAGCCACCTAACGGCCACTTCCAAAAGTTTTAGTAAAATATATACATAGCTTCTGACCCAATTAAATTTGCTTACGGTATGTTTGCCTGCTTGTTCCTTCTCCAGGAATTATTCTAGCCCTGAAGGCTGTTGGACCCCAAGTATTGCTGGGGTATTGTGCATAGAAAGCGTTAATGTTAATATTGATTAAATTAAGATCCTCGACGTATCCAGAAATTGCTTCCGCTTTAGAAGGGCCAAGGCCAATTCAAAAAAGCTCAACTACAGGGTGTCCCAAAACCCCCCCCCCCCCTCTAGCGGTCCGTGGGAAGCTCAGATCAGGATGATTTTTATACCATTCGAACAAGCGAGAAAACAAGCGGGCTTCATTTTCTAAGATTTATTCTGATTCGTCCGATATTCAGCGTTTTTCTAAAAAACAGGTATCTTTTCAATCGGAATTTCGCAATTAGCATGCGGATCTCGCGTAAATCAGCCGTTTTCATGGATTTTGAAGGTAAAATTCGCCAATAAAAATACATAATAAGGAAAATGAACCCTCCATGTTTTCTCGCCTTTTCGAGAGCTTTCGATGATACCTAAACGGCGGAATCGGACCGTCTGGGCGCCCTAGGGGGGTTTTTTGAGACACCCTGTAGTCGTCACGAAAGGTAAAATACCTTTCCCATGTCTGAAAATCTATGCAGACTAAAACCAACTTTTTCTCAGATGAAAAGGCCATAGTGAAAAGTTTAGATACCGCAAGCATTTACGTTAAATTTCATGTATATGACCCTCTGTAGGCGTTGCGGGATTCTCGAACCCTTTATCTGAATTCCTGCCAATCTGCTCGCTTGATTACGCAATATTTAGAGCCCATTCTTTCTAAATTGCAGCACCCAAACCATTAAATTATAATATTCTGCAAAATCTTTTCTAAATAAAAGCCACTTCCCTCCGCTATCACACCCCTTCGGCGGCCTCTCTTATCTCCGGCGCCGTTAAAACAATTAACTTGACGGGGGTGGGGGTATGTGTAATCCATGTTTACACTACGGATGAGTAGTTGTTAACACGCTTGTATATTAGTTGAGGCTTCTTATAATCCTTGAGCCATTTCCCGACTTTTCCTGTCCTTCCAGAGCCACCTAACAAAATTACGGTTTCCCCCCATTTGCATAGCCCACAATTTCATGTATTACTTCATTTTCTTATTTTCGAAGGTCGATGAATCACCGAAACCTGTCAAATCCCCCTTCTTCGATCATTAGGCTCACGCGAAGTGCACGCGCGCCGCCCCTAGAGGCTGGAATTTTTACTCACGCGTTATCATCTCGAAACGGCAAATATTAGGTCGTAAAGGCTTCCTGCCCAAGGCCCACTAGCCCCCTCGCAACGTTCAATAATCCGAATTTATTGGCTGAGCAGACGGGTGGAGGAATTTCGGATGAATCAAGGGGCATAAAATGTCTTTTTGATCTACGGATGCCAATTGGTTTATTGGAACGTAACGTAGCCCGCCAAAAATAACTGTGGTTTCCATGTCTTTGTATGCAAATTCCATACTCTATTTCGGATAGGGCAAGGTCGAGAGCAACAGAGAGAGAGAGAGAGAGAGACAGCTATTGAACGAGAGGTTCCAGATACAGTTTTCCAACCAAATTTCAGTAAATCATTGTTTCGGTTATCATATCCACTAAAAATCGTTTTTTGAAAGTCAACGCTTCAAAAAGTTTTATTATCAAAAAAAGAATTGTTTAAAAATCCCGAGTCAGAAAATTTTCGGAAAACGGTCAGTAAAAATAACAATCAGCAAACAAATTTTACGAAAATGGCTGTGTCAAAAAATAATTTTCGCAGATCGAAGTGAGTTCGTAAAAACTGGATTTTCAAATGATTGTGAAAACTGATTGCCAGGCTTCTAAAGTCTCTCTTTTCTGAGCACGAATTTTCTCTCAATCTTCTCCTCAGCAGCCCCTGAATTCTTACAGGTAATCCTCGATGCCAGACGGGGCCGATCCCCCGATACGGCGGGGCGGATGGCCGTGGGGCCGTCGGAATCTGATGCTGCTCTTTTTCCTCGGCGCCCTCGTTGTCACCGTTGTCATCGCTGTCGTGCTCGTTGTCACACTGGTTGATCACAGTCGACCCACAACACCAGCGCCCGCGACATCTACTCTAGTCTTTGCCATTCCGATTTATAACGACACTGCGAATCCGGCGAGGCGCGATGCCATTTTAGCCGATGACAGCTGCTTCATGTGCATGGAGGTAGGGTCATCTAAAGGGATTTATTATTCTAAGCTAAGAGGGGGAGGCTTCGCCGGGTTTTCTCTTCTTTTTCTTTTTTTTTTCTTTTTTTTATTTTTTTTTTTTTTTTTTTTTTTTTTTTTTTTTTTTTTTATTTTTTTTTAAAATTTATTTTTTTTTTTTTTTTTTTTTTTTTTTTTTTTTTTTTTTTTTTTTATTTTTTTTTTTTTTTTTTTTTTTTTTTTTTTTTTTTTTTTTTTTTTTTTTTTTTTTTTTTTTTTTTTTTTTTTTTTTTTTTTTTTTTTTTTTTTTTTTTTTATAAAAAAAAATATTAATTTTTTTAATATTTTTTTTTTTTTTTTTTTTTTTTGTTATAAAATAAATAAGTTGGTTTATATAAATTAAAAAAAAAAAAAAAAAAAAAAAATTATTTTTTTTTTTATGTATAGAAAATTACGTAAGACACCTTTAAGATGACTAGATAACTTTGATATGTCAAAAATACGGAAAAACAAGCCAGAAAAAGCTAGTAAGAAACTTTCAGATGCTCTCGACGGCCAATTGGTCCCTTTCCAACATGGCCGGCATGAACACCGTCAAATTCCTAATATACAACGACCAGAAAACCGAATGGTCGCCGGTCATGAACAACGCGGATGCGATGACATGGTTGAATACTGGGGATGGAATGGCGAAGTGCATGATGGGGCTGGGCAACACGAAGGTTAATGAGACAAGGTAAACCCTGTCCTTAAATCTATCAAAAATGTTTAGAGCCACTACTGACGAGCTGACGATGCAGTCTTCAGATTCGCTCGTTCATTTTGCGCCTTGTCTTGCAAGAAAGTGAGTTTTATTTCTGACAAGGCCCTTGTAAGCCTAAGCCTAAGCCTAAGCCTAAGCCTAAGACTGAGCCTAACCCCAAGCCTAACCTAAGCCTAAGCCTAAATCTAAACCTAAACCTAAACCTGAGCCTAAACTAAGCCTAAGCCTAGGACCCCGTTTCAATCCAAAATGTTCTAGAACCGACGTCGACAACAAGATGGTCCTGATGGACTTGAAAAGCAACAATGCTAGCTCGAAAATTGTCGTCCTCAAAACTGGAAATGACGCTTCGGAATATGATAAAGTCGTCAACAAGACTATTTCCGGCGATGATCCCCAGAATATTGGACAACAAATTGCGCAAACCCTGACCGCGACGACAATGGCGCCGATGACGACAACACCTGGAACGACACCAGGGGAGCCGTCTTCAAATTCGCCTACGTCGACGACTACTACGACGACGACGACTACTACTACTACTACTACTACTACGACTACTACGACGACAAGTCCAGGTAGACTTTGTAAAGCGCAATTTGCCCTTGAACTGACATTCTAAATTTTCCGCCCCTAAATTCTTGCTGCTACCGTTACTGTAAAAAGTCATCACACTTTAGGTAGCACCCCAAGCACCACTACCACAGCGGAGACACCTTCATCTCCGTCGGAGAGTACCCCAAGCACGACCACCACAACCACGACTGCCAGCACCACATTGACACCAAGTACACCGACGCCTACCTCCACGAGCACAACTACTACCACTACCACTACCACTACCACGACAACTACTACGACTACCACGACTACTACCACGACTACTACGACTACCACAACTACCACAACGACCACGACACCTCCTACAAGCACGGTCACGTCGGCGCAGACAACGGGTATAGCTACACACTGTTATTGTCACTAGCACCTTTTACTGTTATCTACCTTAACCTCCCATACACTCCCTAGTTTTGGCCTTTGGGCAGTGAGGTCACTCTCAGAATCCCACCACTCCCTGCAGTCACTCACGTCGAGCAATATCTATAGGCACGACTTCTGCGCCTACCAGCACATCACTCAGCACTACCTCGATCACGAGCACTACGAGTAACTTAATGCACCGATAGCCATCACTACCACTCTAGGTCCGACCACTGTCACCTCGACGTCACCGAGCACCATCAGTACCACTACTACCACCACGACCACTACCACTACAACCACAACAACCACTACAACTACCACTACTACTACCAGCACTTCAGGCATGAAAACTCGTGATCTAGATCCTTTATTGTCTCGTGCTTGCAATAAAAAGTATTCTAGCGTCCAGCGCATCGACACCGGCAAGTACGTCCACCACCACCACCACCACGACGACAGCAACAACACCTTCATCAACGCCGACTAGCCCTACCACGGTCACTACCTCGACGGGCCCCACCACCAGCCCGGGGCCTTGCCAAGTGTTCTTCTATTTGGATGTCTCGACTTCAGTAGATTTTGGAGTAAGTTTTGGCAGCAAATATTACGAATTATGACATTTAGGTGCCCATAGAGATTGGTCACGTCGAGCGCGTCAGCCCTCTCGTTGCCGGGATCAGCAACTCTGCCGCCGCCAGCTATGGTGGAGACACTTCCGGGCCGTTGAACCTCACCTTTGGGGACCAGGACTCGTTGAAGACCCAGTTGGACAAGATATTTCCCTTCAAGCCGCTCGATGGAACGGTTGCAAAGTAATGCATTTTTCAAAAATAAAAAAAAACTAAATTTTAGTGCCCTCGACGAGATGAAAGCCTATCAGATGGGGAATATCGTGACTGTTTTGTATACCAACAGGTTTGCTAAATTTATTTTTATCGAAACTTTTTCCTATTTAGCTCTCAAAACATCATCAACGCCATCGGGGCAAACCCATTTAGCGACCGGACTATTGGCATTGGATTGAATGGTAGGATCGATAATTTTCTAATCCAGTTCCTAGGTCAAAACATGTCCGACATCGCCGCCTATAGCTTCAGCCCGGATGGAGCGGACGAAAATAAAGTTGCGGAGGCTATTCAGTACATTTGTAACCCAACTACAACTGTGCCGACCTCGCCGACGACCTCGAACACCGGCTCGACGGTGACGAGTACTCCTTCTACAGCAACGACGACAGTTCCGGGCCCGCCGTGCCAAGTCTTTTTCTATCTGGACTTGTCGAATTTTGCACATGCTCAGGTAAATTCGAAACGCGGCCAAGACGCATAGTTTAAACTGACGGCGGTTTAGCTGTAAGCTTAAGTTTTGGTAAGTTTGGAACCAGTCAACTCAATTTATCAGCTTCAGCCCCCATCCAAGTTGTGTTTTCGCAAATAGTTTTCAAAAAGCTGCTCTCGAAAAGTCTCAAAAAGCTGTAAAATTTGGAAAATAGTTTTTTTTGCTGAATCTTCAGCTTGGTAAAAGCAATAAAAATCGGTCCATTTCGCAAAAACCTTATTTAATGCAAGAAATTTGCGAATTTGGAGAGAACCATATTTTGCAACCCGCTTAATAAGTAGAACATTTCAGCTCATCCCGGAAATCGGAAAAGTCAGAGAATTGGCGGACAACATTCCTGGTTCCACCTTCGCTGCTGCAGCGTATGGCAGTGCTGGCCAAGAGCCCCTCACTTTAAAGTTCGGCGACCGAACCAACTTGGACAGCGAATTGGATATAATCTATGCATTGCCGCCTATGGACGCGGATGTTTCAAGGTACGATCTATGCTTTTTTCAGTAAATTCCGGTTTAGTGCGATCAGTGCAATGAACAACTACGACTTGACAAACATCGTCACGGTGTTGTATAGCGGAAGGTTGGTTTTACCAGCCCACAATTTTATCGATTTGCTTATAGCCCAGCATCACAAATCAATGCAGCCGGTCCAAATAGCTACCTTGGGCAAACGGTCGGAGTTGGAATCTATGGTAAGTCAAGTAGCAAGGTTTGTGAATACCTGAACAACAGAAGTTCAAATTTTTGGTCGGCACAAAAATCAAACAATTTTCAGGACAAGACCTAACCCCGCTGGCCATCTACAGCTTCCCCTTTGACAGTGATCAGCTACAGGTTGCAAACGCAATCCGGTCCATATGCACCAACTTAACAACTGGCACGCCCTCGACGTCGACTTCTACGACAACAACAACAACAACACGACTACGACGACGGTGACCAGCGCCTCGAGCTCGACATTAAGCAGCACTGCCACCACTACGACTACAGCAACGACGGCCTCGAGCGCCACGAGTGCATCTAGCTCAAGCGCAACGTCAAGCCCGAGCTCGACTTCCACAACTACCACTACCACTACTACCACGACAAGCACAACCGGCTCGACGGCCACGACCCCGAGCACTTCGACGAGCACCACGACGACTACCACGACTACGACAACAACGGCGGGCAGCACTATGAGCACTTCTATTGGCTCGACAACACCAGGAGCGCCATGTCAGATCTTCTTTTACCTTGACGTCTCGACTGTTGGGAAGCCACAGGTAAGTTGCATTTGGAAAAAATTGGACCAATGGCCTTTCCAGTTCGTTGTCGAGCTGGGCCATGTGAATAGAATCGCAGATGAAACGGCACGTGACGGCTTTGTGCCAATCTTTGCCGGCGCAGGATATGGATATGACGGTCAAGAGCCCTTAAATCTGACTTTCGGAAATCGTGATCTTCTCACGCAAGAGATTAGCCCTCTATATGGGAAGACGCCCCTGGACGTCACGGTTGCCTCGTGAGTAGCTCTTTCGGTTCCAAAAACTTTTTAGGGGGATCAATGCGTTGAATAATTATGCACTGGGCAATATCGTTACAGTCCTCTATACCAACAGGTTGGTATTACCAAGAAAGCTCGCCAAATCAGCAATTTTCAGCGCCCAGGGCGCAATCGATGCGTCCCCGCAAAATAATTACAAGACTCAGACGATTGGAATAGGCTTGGCTGGTGTGTGAGGTATCGTACGTTACCTTTCCAGTTTAGGTCAAAATCTGGGCACGATTGCGGCGTACTCATTTGGGGCAGACGCAAGCTACGACGATCAAATAAATGCGGCCATTACTTCAATGTGCACCGGAGAAACCCCTACGACCACGATACCACCAACAGGAACTACGCAGTCGTCGCCGAGTGTAACGAGCACGTCTGCGTGCAGCACATCGCCGACTTCTACAAGTACGACTACGACGACGACTACCACTACCACAACGACCACAACGACGACCACTACTACCACCACGACGACTACCACTACCACTACAACGACGACCACAGTAACTGGGTCGACTTCGGCGTATGCCGGCAGCTCGACAGGTGCCACGACTGGGCCGACGACAACCCCAGCCGCTTGTCAAATCTTTTTCTATCTGGATGTATCAACGTCTGGCAAGCCACAGGTGGGTAGTTAACATTGTAACAATAATATTTGTAGTTTGTCGCTGAATTGGGCCATGTGAACCGAATCGCTGATGAAACCGCAAATGACGGTTTTGTACCGGCATATGCCGGTGCAGGATATGGTTATATCGGCCAAGAACCGCTAAATCTGACCTTCGGAAACCGCGATCTCCTCACAGATGAATTGAGATTGCTGTATGGGACCGCCGCGGCTGATGCCAATGTGTCCTCGTAAGTATGATTTAATTGCCCAAATAGTCTTTAGGGGTATAAATGCTCTGAACAACTACCCACTTGGAAATATCGTTACGGTCCTCTATACCAACAGGTAAATTCGAGCTCGCGTTATTTGTGAAACGTTTTTTAGCGACCAAGCGTCCATCCACGCTTCTCCGTCCAATAACTTCAAAAGCCAAACAATTGGGATCGGATTGAGTGGTAGGTTTTTACATCCCCAGTAGGATTAAACTATTTTTTTTTTTTTTTTTTTTTTTTCCAAAAAAGAAACCCTAAACAAAAAAAAAAAAAAAAAAAAAAAAAAAAAAAAAAAAAAAAAAAAAGGGGAAAAAACCTTGAAAAAAAGGGGGGGGGGGGGGGTTTTTGAAAAAAAAAAGAACAACCTTCCGGGTTTTCCCCCTCCCAAAACTAGCTAATGAGTCTATCTCGCACTTTTTTTCAGGACAAGACCTTACCCCACTCGCTGCCTATTCTTTTGGTGCGGGTACTGATCAGGATGATGCCATCAATGCAGCCCTTACTGCACTATGTACCGGGAACACTCTTCCAACTGTCACCACGGTCTCGACACTGCCCACGTCTCAAGGTACAAGTCCGGGAAGCACCGAACCCACCTCAACCGGCTCCTCCACACCAAGTACCACTACAACCACCACCACTACTACCAATACTACCACCACTACCACTACCACCAGCACAACAACATCTGTAGCTCCGTCTGGCAGCACAGTGAGCGGTTCACCAGGTACACCATAGGCAACTATGCACCACACTCCCTAACAAGCCATAAGCCTAACAAGTAATTTGTGTCCAATTGTAAGCCGAAGCAACCGCCCTAACAGCCCATTGCAAAGCATGCACCTTCGACAAGTCTAGTAAATGCCTGCAGCACAACCATCTCACCAATTTCCAGCACAATACCCTTTCGCACATTCAGGCACCTCCATCACCACCACCGAAGGCACATCACCAAGCGCTGCACCCACGATCCCAAGCACTCCAACATCCGCGCCCTCCTCTTCGGCGAGCACTCCAGGATCTACAAGCTTAGGCTCATCTACTGCGAGCGTCAGCCCCGGATCAACAACCTTCAACTCGGAGCCGACCGTCAGCACGACCACCACAACATCAATGCCAATCTGCAAGGCGCTTTTTGTCGCTGATCTGACGGATGCTAGCACGGAATGGGTAGGTGGATGAAATAAGCTTGACTTTGTGGCAATAACAGATGCCCCATCGACTGACTCTTCAGCAACGTTACTGCTACTGCACTTTTAGATCGCCGAGAAAAATCTGATCCGAGCATCGGTCGCGGCGCTGTTCGATGGTGCACGTAACAAACAACTGAACGCCTCGGCAACTTTTGGCGCTACAGTAGCGGCCCTGCAACGGATGGAGCCATTCCCACCGATTTTTCTTACGACCCTACCGACGTACCCTACAACTGGGAAGATGCTGGAGGAAGCCTGGCGATTACCGAGTTTGTCACCTTGATTTTAGAACTTATTGTTTTTTTTAGCGCCGCGAGTTCTCTCAATACTTGGACTGTCACCGATGCAGTAATTGTCCTCTTCACGGCCAGGTAGTTTCAATTCACAATCTTGAGTTTTTGTTCAGTAACCAACCAACCATTAACACCGCCGGAGGAATCTATGGCCGTCAGCAAATAACTGTCGGAGTAGCTAGTAGGTCCCCCAAAGAGTTTTCTAACAAGCATTTCCCGATGGTGCTGACCCATCCCCGTATGCTGCCTACCCCGTGCACGATCAAGATTCAAACATCATCTCCGATGCTGTAATCAGCCTATGTCAAAACTTCCCGGTGGTCCCTCCTTCCACACATGTGCCCTCGCCTACTGATTCAAGCCCTAGCTCGAGCTCGGGCTCCACGACTACAACAACTACTACGACTACTACTACAGCTTTGCCTAGCTCCACTTCTTCCGCAGCACCTAGCACATCTGCTTCCACGTCTCCGACTCCAACAACAATCTCGGCTGCGTCAGCCAGTACTACCGCAGGCCCGAGCACCACAGCCGCGGCTCCGTTGCCAGTCTGTAAGGCATTGTTCGTCGCAGATTTGTCTGATGCCGCAAATGACTGGGTGGGTTTTTTTTGCAGAAGCATCGAATGCCGCATACTAGGCTCTCTGTGCAATTAAGCTTTCAAATATTCAGGTCGCTGAACGGAGCCTACTGCTTGGCTCAATTTCCGTCCTGTTCAACACCGCTCCGGGCAGCCAGTTGAACGCATCTGCCGCCTTCTGGCGATACAGTAGCGGCGTTGATATTGATGGTGCCCTGCCGACCACATTTTCCTACAGTGCTGACAGCGTAACGACCGATTTTACAAGCCAAGGAGGTGCGCTGAATATCACTAGGTGTGATTCGAATCTTTTTCACCAAGGCATCGATTTAGTGCTGTGGCGTCGCTAAACGATTGGAGCGTTACGGATGCTGTTATTGTGTTATTTACCGCAAGGTAAAACAAAGAACATAGATGATTATGATTCTTTAGCAACAACGCGCTCATTGCCACTGCCGGCGCCAGCTACAACAGGCAGCAGATTACGGTTGGCATCGCCGGTATGTAGATTGATCTAGTAGACCAACGTGTTTTAGACAATGGCGATCCTTCACCCTATGCTGTCAAACCAATACAAGATCCGGATTCCGGGACCATTGCCGGGGCCATAATCGATTTGTGCAAGAACTTCCCTGTGATCACAACCCCCTCGCCTGGTCCATCACCAACCGGAACAAGTCCGAGCCCTGGTGCTTCGACTACCGGCCCGACCGTGCCAAGTTCTTTTGGAACTTCAACGCCGGTAATCTCAACCGTCCCCACCCAGTCGAGCAGTCCGATCCCGACTGGATCAACTCCTGAATTACCCTCTTCGTCCTCACCTTCAACTGCTCCGACGACCCCAGCGACCAGCACAACAACGGCAGCTCCACTACCTAGCTGCAAAGCCTTGTTTGTTGCCGATCTTTCCGATGCCGCCAATGACTGGGTAAGACGATTGATTAAAGAGATTCAAAGCCATCCGTATGGTTAAAATGATAGCAGGCAAAGATCTGTCCCGTAGCCCATTATTATTTTATTACACGCGAGAAATCTTCGTCCATGACCGAGCGCTAAAATTGTTCTTTAGATAACCGAAAAAAGCCTGGTGGTTGGCTCAATCAATCATTTGTTCACCGCAGCCCCAGCAAGTCTATTGAACGCATCTGCTGCCTTCTGGCGTTACAGCAGCGGAGTTGATGCCGATGGCGTTTTGCCAACAACTTTCAATTTCGATTCGGCGAGCGTATGCACCGATTTCAGAAATCCAGGGGGTAACCTGGATATCACCAGGTGAGACCTTGTACCCATAATCTAGCCGTGAATTAAGTGCTGTCGCGTCGCTGGATGATTGGAGCGTCACCGACGCAGTAATCGTCTTATTCACCGCTAGGTACGGCCTCTAAGTAGCTTTATCTGGTTTAGCAACAATGCGCTGATCATTACTGCTGGCGAAAACTACAACCGGAAGCAGGTTACTGTCGGCTTTGCAGGTATTCAGGTTTTCTCGGAAAAGGTATGCTTTTATAGACAACAACAACGATCCGTCACCATACGCAACCAAACCGATACAGGAACCGGATGCTACCCTAATTGCTTCTGCAATCCTCGATTTGTGTGCAAATTTTCCAAGCGTTTCTACAACGCTAGGCTCGACACCATCAAGTGGAAGCACGATGACTGGTCTGTCCACCTCAACAGTTACGATCGGTTCGACGTCGGAGGTCACTGGCTCTACAGGCTCAACTATGTCGGGTTATTCTTCGACCAGTTCCTTCAGTTCTGGCTCGCCATCCTCTAACCCCGGAACTGTCACTGGATCCACGCCCTCCACTGTGATTACAATTGATCCACGACCACCATGCAACGTCCTGTTCTGGATCGATGCTTCTACGGAAGCCTATGCGGTGAGTTAAGTTTTCTTTAGACCCTTCAGCTAATTCTTGAAAACCTTCATGGTTTTAGCCTAATGATACAACAGTCATGCAATTCAACGATGTGGAAACCGCTGCGCGAATAGCCTATCAAAACTTTACGGACGCTGGCTATCTATTTAGAGCTAACAGCTACGTTTTGGGTCAGGTACTACAATAGATTTCGATTTTATAAGCACTTTAGGGCGAGGGTAGTTCGGACGTTAACACGTTTTGGAACGACTTCGACAGCTTTAACGTAATATTATCCGCCTGGAAAAGCAGTGTTGACCCAGACTTCGCAATAAACGACACCATCAAGACGTAACGGTCTCGAAAGCCAGCCGGAACAGACTTTTAGCACGATTGAATTGATCAACAGGCAGAATTTTATCGATGATACGATGATTATCTTCTTCACCAATAGGTATCCACTTCATGAGCTGATTATATAGCGTCATAAATAGTCCCCAAACCGAGGTCGACGCTGCGCCAAACAATACCCGACTGACAATCACTTATGCTTATCCATTCGCTGAAAACACTGACATTTCTCGTGTTGCACACATCATTGCCGGCAATTTGCTCAACGGCATTGACCTTGCGATCGACAGTTTTTGCAGCCGTTTTGCCTCAACGGCGGCTGCTACAGGTATGTCTCTACGAGGAAAGGCATCACTAACTTAAGAGTTGTGATCTGAGAAATAACATGCATTACAGGTGCAACAAAAGGTATTTCACGTGGTTCAACAACGGTTCCTCAGTTCGCAAGCAGCCAAGCTGTATCCGGTTCTACTTTAAGCGGCGGTTGGTATTTTGACTACATCATAGCCCTTTGAATTCCAAAATTTTGGCCTTCCTTACAGGTCCGTCTGGCTCTACAGCCCCATCAGTATCACCATCCAGTATTGGAACGCTCAATACGGACAGCTCTCAAAACCCAACACGTTCAACTTATTCTACGATTAGCGGCGGAACGGCTGCGACCGCAGGTACTGTCTCTGTCTCGCTCGCTCGTATCGGCTCTCTCTGCATCTATATATCTCTTCGTAAAATCCAATTAAAATATGAAAAACTAATCAAGCTGTTCAGGTTCAACTGGAAGCGACGCATCACCGAATAGCCAGTCACCCACCAGCCCAGTCTCCTCGGGAACAGGTAGCGGAATTTTAGGTATTTTAATTTCGCCAAGGATCTACCAACTCCCCTGGCCCCTCGACAAGCGGCAGCTCGAACTCCGCGGGTACCAGTGTGACGCTGCAAAGTGGTGCAACGGACTCAACCGGTTTGAAAGTCTCAGCGTCAGCTCTAGAATTCTATTAGGTTCAACCGGCGGCTCTGATTCGACAGTCAGTCCCGTATCAGGGAGTACTAACGCCCCGTTTACTGGATCAACCGCCACTGGTAAAATTAAATCGGTACCAAAAGAAGATGAATCTATTTTAAATTAGGTGCAACCGGCGGGTCTGGTTCCACAATGAACCCCGCAACCGGAAGTAGCCCTAGCGGAAGTACAGTGTCGGGAGCGACAAGTATGCTTGCACATTTCTGAAGAAAAATGTTTTATAGGTGCCACCGACAGTTCAGGCTCGCCGACCGGCCCAGGAAGCAGCGCGAGCCCAGCCACAGGCTCAAGCGTTTCAGGTGCCATTTGGGATAGAGAGAAAAATATTCCTTTCAATTTCAGGTGCAACTGGAAGCTCTGGTTCGACCACGATCCAATCTTCAGGGAGCACTAATCCCAGCCCAGCTTCAGGCGCGACAGGTAAAATAGAGGTCAACTTTCAATGCTAACGTAAATTAGATGCAACTGGTGGTACCGGCTCTACCACAAATCCGGGTTCCGGAAGCAGCGCGGGTCCAGCTACAGGTAAGCATAAAAAATGATCAGCCGATCGAAACTTAGGTGCAAGCGGAAGTTCCGAGTCATCACCAGGTCCAGTCTCCGGAGGCAGTACTATCTCGGGCACGGGCTCTACAGGTATGGGAGCTTAGCGATCTCAGGCGTTCTTTTTAGGGTCTGGCGCTACCGACAGTTCCGCTTCCACTGCAAGCCCCGCCTCAGGAGGGAGCACTATCTCAGGCACGGGTCCTACAGGTGTGGAAGTTGTAGGAAGTCAAAGCAAACTTTTTGCAGGATCAGGCGCAACTGAGAGTTCCGCTTCCGGTGTGAGCACGATCTCAGGAGGGAGCACCATCCCAGTGACGGGTTCAACGGGTATGGGAGCGTAGGAGATTTTACGAGCTTTTTGTAGGCTCAGCCGCAACTGGCAGTTCCGCTTCCACGGCAAGCTCAATCTCAGGAGGGAGCACTGTTTCAGGCACCGGTTCAACCTGGACAGGTAAACCTGACTCAAATACGTGAGAGGCTAACTTCAAATTTAGGTGCAAGTGACAGCTCTGGATCACCTTCGAGTCCAGTCTCAGGTGGTAGCACGACGCCAGGCACGGGTTCAACCTCGACAGGTAAGTTCGCATCAAATCAAACTCAAGGAGACTGACTTGAAACTCAGGTGCCAGCGACAGTTCTGGCTCTCCATCGAGTGGAATCTCCGCAGGGAGCACGAACCCAGGCACAGGTCCAACATCGACAGGTACTTTCTCATCAAATACCTGGGGAGGTCCACTTCAAACCTAGGTTCAAGCGCGGGCTCTGGGGCCACCTCAAGCTCAGTCTCAGCAGGAAGCAGTAGCCAAACCCCTGGTTCTGCTGCCACTGCAGGTGCAACCGAGCTTCACAAAATTATACAAATTAGGTCTAGGTACCGGATCGTCGTTTGGCTCCTCTATTCCGACCGCTAATCCCGGCCCCTCGAACCCGACTAATGCTCCATCCACTCAAATTTCTTCCCTAGGAACAGATGTTACTGGATCTACAACGACCAGGTGATTTTCTACACCTATTTCACGCAATTCCATTCAGTAACCCGGATGCTAGCCTTCTAACAAGCTTAGAAGGCAGCTCCACCGCGATACCGTTGATCCATTGTCGGGCCTTCTTCTTTGTGGATTTATCAAATAGCAGCACACAATACGTATTGGCTATTCCGCTGCAATTCATATGAACTTTCAGGAATTCTTTGATCTCCTTCAGAGCAACATCAAGGGCGTAGCCGCCAAACTTTATAATGATCCACGATTGGACTTTAAAGCAGCACTCGGGTTCTATGGTGACGATGTAAGGGCTTGTTCCAAATGATATTTCCGTCCTTAGTACTTCGGAGCTCCTCAAACGACGACATACGAGCAGATTGATATGTTCAACAAAGACCTCAAGGATGCGTTTGACGATGTCGACGAATTTCCGGATCCAAACTCCCGGAACATAACCTAGTTTGGATATTTTTGATCCAGAGAAACTAAATTTCAGCGCCGTCGGACAATTTAAACTTCGATAAATTTGTCACATTCCTGCATACAGCCAGGTGATTTGAGATGGAATACTCATCGGTCATTTACAGTAGTCAAGAGGACATCAGCGCGGCTGCCAATCCATGGAAAAACCAAACCATCGGCTATTCGTCGCAGAGTAATTGCGCAACTTCCAAAATTTGGGAACAAATACCTTTAGATTATGTCATGTCGGCAGTGTCGATCTACAGCTTTAACGTGGGCGATCAAGAGACAACCGTTCAGAACATTGTCGACCTGTGCAAGCTGTACACGAATGAGTAAATGGCCAGATTGGCACCTGTTTATCCCGTGCCTTGTTTTGATCCCGTGAGCCTCAACCGATTGCCCCACAAATGTGATCTCATTTTGAAGCATTGTCGTTGTCGATAAAGTCATTTTGCTATAATAAGTGTTTGAAAGTGTGAGTTAGCTGTAATAGAGGGAAGAGAACAATGCCGGTTCTGATTCGTTAGAGGAGGGTCATTTTTGTCATTGGCTTCTTCTAATTTATATAGCATTGATCTTAACCCTTGAGCCCTATATACTACTCTTCGTATATTTCTCCTGCTCCATCAAATAGCGTTAACAAAATCTCGAAAAATAACGAACATCACGAAAATAGCTGATCAACCCCATTTTCGGGATATTTTGGCTTTTTTAACTTTATTTTATTGTGTTTTGATCTAGAATAAAATTCATAGTATAGTTTTGATGCTTTGTTAAGTCGTGGGGAAGTAGTCCTCAAAAAATAATGAAGCATTGCAAAAGCTACGACATTAAACTGTCTCCCCGCTAACGGACCAGAACCTAAAAGATTATGGAAATCCAAAAGTTGTGAGAAAGAGAGCATCAGAATAACACAATCTAAAAAGATTTCGCAAAAGCCGGTGACCTTATCGCGAATTGCCCAACCAAATACGTCTGACCCCTAAATTTACGCTATTGGTTCCGGCGGCCGTGATGCCATGTAATTTCACATAAACAGTCTTATCGCGTTGTCGTTAGATGATTCTGGTTGGGTAACCTCAAACGAATTATGTTAACCCCAGTTTTTTGCCCCAACACATTTGACCCAGGAATGCAGACAATTTTTTAACGGGGGCCAATGAAGCACGTTATTTACGACCGGCTTGACCGATACATGTTGAGTTCGTAGCTATAAAAATGCGTGAGGGACAACAAGAAATTCAGAACAGTCTTGGGCTCGCTCCAGAGCCTGCTGGCTATCGAATTTTTGAGTTTCTTAATTTTAGCCAGATTTTAGAAATGGAATCGAGGATCATTTTCTGCCTCTTGATTGTTTTTGTATCTACGGTAAATGGAAAGGCTGTTGCACTCTCAAACAAGCCGACAATCGACCCACGAGTACCCTGCAATGTCATATTTTGGTTGGATGCATCGAACGAGGCTTGGGTAAGTCATATTAGGTGTAACAACTCGACTTACATCAAAATAAATTTAGCATCAGGTTCTTAAAATAATTCCTCGCGTAAGATGTAATTAATGCGCTTTAGTCGCACCCCCGACTTGTGTTTCGAAAATGTGCACCTGTCGCGCTGTCCGGGGGCACTTGGGAAACGAATTGTCGCATTAATGATAGACTGCCACGAATTCGCACTCTTTTTGCGTTTTTCGCCAAACTCGAGTTTTGGCTTCCATAAAAAAAACCTTATTTCAGGCCCACTTCGGCACTCAAACAAACCTACTCAAAGACTTCGCCGCATTGGCCTTCATAAAATACTCAAACGCCAATTTCCTGCTTCGATTCGGGTTGTCGGTTTTGGGACAGGTATGCTTCTCGTTTCAACTTTAAATTTGTTCCTTAGGACCAATCCCCTGATATGGGAACTTTTTGCAACACCTATGATCAATTTGCGACCTATTTGAATGGTTTCGAACATGACGCCGCGCTTGAGTATGCGACAGGCGATACTATCAAAAAGTTGGCTTGTTGATGCTACCAGAATTTCTTGTTTTAGCACAATCGATACAGCCAACCGGGTCACGTTTCTGAAGAATTCAATGCTGTTTTTCTTCACTAATAGGTAGCATACGAGGTTGATGCGTTTACGCGATTTCAGCAATCAAGCTGAAGTCGATGCTGCCGCTACCAACCAAAAACGTGATGTTACCTTTGGGTATGACATTTCAGGCACGTTTCTTGACTATTTTTAATGTTTGATTTCTTAAAAATGATTGCTTAGGTGCCAACATCACCCGAGTAGCAAACCCATTGTCATCGGACAACTTTCCGGGAGCGCTGGAAGGCGTCATCGAGCAGTTTTGTCAAAATATTAATGCTATGTGATCACTACTTATTTTTTACTCCACGTAATATCATAATCTAATAAATTGTAATAATGACCGAATCTCGTGATGGTCACTACAAACCAGACAAATCCAAACATTCTTCAAAAAGCGCGAAACCCTATAATTCATCCGATTTGGGGTAAATTGGACGTCACTGACATTCCATCAATGCCTTGGGTTTCCGCTAAATAATTGAATCAGCCAAAAAAAGACTCTGGCTTTTGGGAAATCACCGCCTTCCACAGGTGGCTAATCAACCAACGATGCCGTCACCGCAGATAAGGGGAGGGAGCAACCGAGATTTATGAAATGCTCCCCCATTCGGTGGCCGCTATAAATTAGCGCTCCCCGTTCAAAACAGTCAATTCCGAAATTTCACTATTAACTTGCGATGCTCGTTCGAAGCTGTTTGCTTTTTGCTCTGCTCGGATATGTAGCGAGCTTTGAGGTGAGCAGGCCTTTTTGTACATGGTTCTTTCGCATTATCGGGGGGGGGGGGTTGTATTGAGCTAGAAAGGCCTAGCAACTTTTAAGTAAATATTTTTATATAGATTTTAATGAAATAAAACTATATTTGAATTAGAGAAACCATCAAAAAAACTTTGAAAGATTTTTGAGAAAGTCGAAATTTTGGTCAAAAACACTGCCATTTTTGGGCGAAAAATCGATACATTTTGTATTTTTAATAAAAATATGGGAAATTTTGCGCTTAAAAATCGTGAAAACAGGTTAAAAACACTTCCGCTATTATATTTAAAAAATTGGTTCCCAAATAGATGTCTTTCCCCCCGATAATGCCAAAGAACTTTGTATATTAATAACCACTACAAAAATTACAGAATATCTATAATCTTATAACTTTAGCCACCTACGACTCTTTCCCCAATGACGTCCCCTACAGTAACTCCGCCTGCAGCAGCCTGCTCAGTTTTGGTGGTTGCAGATCTATTAACGGCGGGCGCTTCTTGGGTAAGCTTTAAACAGCTTTTGTAGAGTACGATTTCGAGGTCTATGTTTTCGAAAACGTATTGAGTTGCTTTCGGATTAATTCTCCTAGCTTCTCGCGATCAAAAAGGATTCTGCTGCCCAAGTGGCGCTCACCGGAAACCTGATAAGCCCATCACCCAGAATTTACGAGCCAATCAATGAAAGCAAAGCAGAAAAGAGAGGTGAATCATTAAACAGCATGTTTTAGCATGTTGAACACACGCTAGTTCGAGCCACGGTAGCCGGAATTTTTGATGGTGCCAAACATCGCAGTTTCCCCACCCAAGTTGCCTTCTGGAGGTACAGCAGTGGCCCAGATGCTGATGGACCTTTGCCTACAGCTTTCGGGACTGACTATTACTCGGTGCCGATTCGCTTCGAGGACAAGGGCGGGGATTTGAGTGTGGCGAAGTTAGTGGAAATAATCGGAGCATTGATCAAACTCCATTTAGTGCAACAGCTTCCATCAACAATTGGTCGGTGACGAACAGCGTCATTGCAATCTTCACCTCCAGGTTGGAACGCCTCCGTGTATTATCTAATATTGATTTAGCAACAAGAACCAAATCGTGGCGGCTGGCCAGAACTACTTAAGAAAGGCGCTGACGGTCGGAATTTCAGGTAGAAAGACAATCCCTACGTCTTAAAACTGAAGCTCTATCTCTGACTCCCCTCTCTTTCTATATTTCATTCCTCACTCCCACTATCTCTCTCTCCCTCTCTCTCTCTCTCTCTCTCTCTCTCTCTCTCTCTTCCTCTCTTCCTCTCTCACTCACTAAACGTGGTTCTTTAGATACCCAGGACGCCTCCCCGTTCGCCGCTGTTGTACTGCACGAGCACGACACGAATATGATCTCGGATGCAATTCTGGATATGTGCAAGACTGTGATTCAACAGAAATAAATTCTATCTACTTGAATTTATGCTCTCTTCATGAACAGCAGTCCTTCTCAGATTCAAACTTGCTCAAAATGGAGACCAAAAAACGCATCATACTTTAACACACAAACAACACCCAAAAACTCATCAAATTTTTCGTTCTGGCAATATTTCCTCATTAAACCATCCCACCTGTACGATTCCTCAAAAACTTCGCACGGAAAAGCGGCCATCATTGGCCGAATTTAGGTAGGGGGCGCCGCGACGGCCAAGCCGGCTTATGCCAACGTGCTTATCGGGGTGTGGTAGAGGACCGGGGTGCTAGCCATTTTCTAGATTATCTAATGTTATACTAGCTATGCAGCGTCGCCGATTTTTACAACCCATTCCGGCTACAAAAGTTATTAGGTTAACATGGAAGCGCTTTTAAAGACGCAGGCAGAGGTCGAGTAACCGGACCTTTCCCTTGCTTATCACCCCAGAATTATTAGGCAAACGCAACGGCCTAGCGTAATGCTTACAGTATCCAAATTCCTTTTTGTAATCTGTCATGTTTAAAATTAGAAATGTAGGGCATGTTATTTATGTTGTTTTTGAGAAGCTGTATTCTGGAAGGCGAATCTCCTAGCTGGCACCATCCCTTTAAAATAGAAACTTTAATTTCTCTTCACGAGATTTTTGTTGCTCTCGCTCCTTCCCCATTTCCCTGTCTGTTTCTCTCTCTCTCTCTCTCTCTCTCTCTCTCTCTCTCTCTCTGTCTTTCCCTCTCTCGCGCGCACTTATTTTGCACGATCGCTTGCTCTCCTTACAAATTCAAAACCCCGACATTTTCTTGTCTGGCCAAGTTTATTGATCTTTTTGTTGTTTTCTTTCTCGCCCTAGTTTCAGGCGGGTTTTTGCACGAGTCTTTGCTTCTAAATCCTTCCTTATCATCGGTGGCTGGGTGTGGCCCCGGGTGACTGTTTCGGCCGCTTTCTGGGGGGTATTAGGACAGGTCATTGTGAACGTGAATTCCACCGGATTGTAGAATTTTTTTGCACGCGGTTAATCCGCTACTTGAGGTGGATGGAAAGTAACAGAAATTGAGAACGATCAAGGATCATCCTTCACTATTCCCGATAAACAAAATCCGCCTGTTTAAGAGTTGACCGGGGAACGAGTAGGGACAACTTTCGTAGGTCGCAAGGGAAGGTTTTTTGAGTTTGGCCGGACATTTCTACAAATGATACACCATTCTATATGGAATTTAAAATAAATATGAAACTTTAAGATTAAGATTACGGAATGACCTTGATAAGAAAGACATCAACTTTTAAAATATCCATTTAGACCTTCATTTATTTCATTTAAAAATCTCCCCTACCATTCGTTTCTTGTCTCAAAAACTCCGTTTGACATTTACACCACTCTAGGCTCTGCCAGGCTGCAAATGCCGGACATTTTTTATCTGTAAAGCAAACACTCACTGAATCACCCCTTATCACCTACAATTTCAAAAATCACTAGAATATCCTTGAAATGAAGGCATTTTCAGGTAATCCATTAGAAAGCGAAGCGCTAGACAGGTACTTCCGTCTTCCCAATGGCCGCAGATGCGCCAGCGCTGGACGGGCGCCGCCGTTGGCTACTGCCATTTATTTTCCTAGCAGTGATTACGGTAGCTGTTGTGATTGCTGTCACGCTAGTGGTGGTGCTTGTCGATAGGAGCAAACCGCATGGTAAATCAAGCTTAAGTTTCCTAAGCCTGCACTGAGGCCTGGGAGAAAAGGGTTTCTTTTTACTGTCGAAAATCATAGTGTCGAAATTCATAATGCCGAAATGTTAAACTTTGAACTCCCATAGTGTAGGAATTTTGGCCGAAATTCAGAATGTCGAAATTTATATATGGTAATTTCCCTGAAAAAACCCTTCTAGCCTTTGCAAAAAGGTTTTGACCTTATAATCTCGATGATGAAATTTCGACAACGTGATTTTCGACCTCCTGATTTCACTGTATCACGCTCCGCTCAACCTATTTCAGCTCCTTCCGCCATCCCATACCGCGTCACTTTCTCGTTGTACCAGATCGACAAGCCCCAGAAGCAAATTCTAGCCGAGCTAGAAGCTGACGATCCGGATTCTGGATGCTATTATTTGGATGATGTGGGTTCTAACCAAAAATCATAGCCTATTTATTGCATAATACCTAAGCTAACGGTTTAGACAAAAGAAATCATCAAAAGCACGCTCGATGGCCTGGGTGACGAAGCGGAAGTGGCTTTTCTTACTTATGGACAGGCTGAAAATTCCGTAGCCATGACCGGAATGATGTCAAGAAGCGATTCGATGACTCATCTAGACACCATCCCCGCCCTGGCTGGCGTGAAACAAGCCAATGAGCTAGCGTAAGTATTCACCACCCCCCCTGTCACCTGCATTTCAGCGCCATGAACCTCTATTCAAACAAAAAGACGAAAAGCGAGCTCGTCTACTTTGTCCCATGCGATGAAATGTAAGTAAATATCTCCCGAGACAGGCACATTAAATTTCAGGCGAATGCCCGATAACCTGAACACCATGTTTTCCGACGGACTATTCATCAAAAAACTGATCCTCGTCTCTGGCCAGCTTTCGAAAGAGAATATGACCACTATCTATGGCATCGGCGGAGGAGAGAAGAACGACACTGTCTATATCGATAAGCAAGTGAAAAAGGAGGATGTTTCGAAGGAACTGCAGCACGATCTGCCATCCACGGCGGTTACAACTGCCGCCCCGTCGACGTCCGTAACGCCCCGGACAAGTCGCTTCACGACCAGGTCCGCCACCACCTCCCAATCCACATCCGTGCTAACGAGCGGGCCTGCCAGTACAACATACTTAATCACCACTGCACCGACAGCCCCTGCGGCGACGTCTTCCGCAACCCAACCTCAAACGACGACAACAAAGACTCGGACGGCATCTGGCTCAACAGCATCGCCAACGGCTTCTGAATATGTCTCGACGTCAACTCCTACAGACCATGTGACGGCATCTAGCTCGACAGCATCGCCAACGGCTTCTGAATATGTCTCGACGTCAACTCCAACAGGGCATGTGACGGCATCTAGCTCGACAGCATCGCCAACGGCTTCTGAATATGTCTCGACGTCAACTCCTACAGACCATGTGACGGCATCTAGCTCGACAGGATCGCCAACGGCTTCTGAATATGTCTCGACGTCAACTCCAACAGGGCATGTGACGGCATCTAGCTCGACAGCATCGCCAACGGCTTCTGAATATGTCTCGACGTCAACTCCAACAGGGCATGTGACGGCATCTAGCTCGACAGCATCGCCAACGGCTTCTGAATATGTCTCGACGTCAACTCCAACAGGGCATGTGACGGCATCTAGCTCGACAGCATCGCCAACGGCTTCTGAATATGTCTCGACGTCAACTCCTACAGACCATGTGACGGCATCTAGCTCGACAGCATCGCCAACGGCTTCTGAATATGTCTCGACGTCAACTCCTACAGACCATGTGACGGCATCTAGCTCGACAGGATCGCCAACGGCTTCTGAATATGTCTCGACGTCAACTCCTACAGACCATGTGACGGCATCTAGCTCGACAGCATCGCCAACGGCTTCTGAATATGTCTCGACGTCAACTCCTACAGACCATGTGACGGCATCTAGCTCGACAGGATCGCCAACGGCTTCTGAATATGTCTCGACGTCAACTCCAACAGGGCATGTGACGGCATCTAGCTCGACAGGATCGCCAACGGCTTCTGAATATGTCTCGACGTCAACTCCAACAGGGCATGTGACGGCATCTAGCTCGACAGGATCGCCAACGGCTTCTGAATATGTCTCGACGTCAACTCCAACAGGGCATGTGACGGCATCTAGCTCGACAGCATCGCCAACGGCTTCTGAATATGTCTCGACGTCAACTCCAACAGGGCATGTGACGGCATCTAGCTCGACAGCATCGCCAACGGCTTCTGAATATGTCTCGACGTCAACTCCAACAGGGCATGTGACGGCATCTAGCTCGACAGCATCGCCAACGGCTTCTGAATATGTCTCGACGTCAACTCCTACAGACCATGTGACGGCATCTAGCTCGACAGCATCGCCAACGGCTTCTGAATATGTCTCGACGTCAACTCCTACAGACCATGTGACGGCATCTAGCTCGACAGGATCGCCAACGGCTTCTGAATATGTCTCGACGTCAACTCCTACAGACCATGTGACGGCATCTAGCTCGACAGCATCGCCAACGGCTTCTGAATATGTCTCGACGTCAACTCCTACAGACCATGTGACGGCATCTAGCTCGACAGGATCGCCAACGGCTTCTGAATATGTCTCGACGTCAACTCCTACAGACCATGTGACGGCATCTAGCTCGACAGGATCGCCAACGGCTTCTGAATATGTCTCGACGTCAACTCCTACAGACCATGTGACGGCATCTAGCTCGACAGGATCGCCAACGGCTTCTGAATATGTCTCGACGTCAACTCCTACAGACCATGTGACGGCATCTAGCTCGACAGGATCGCCAACGGCTTCTGAATATGTCTCGACGTCAACTCCTACAGACCATGTGACGGCATCTAGCTCTACAGCATCGCCAACGGCTTCTGAATATGTCTCGACGTCAACTCCTACAGACCATGTGACGGCATCTAGCTCTACAGCATCGCCAACGGCTTCTGAATATGTCTCGACGTCAACTCCAACAGGGCATGTGACGGCATCTAGCTCGACAGCATCGCCAACGGCTTTTGAATATGTCTCGACGTCAACTCCAACAGGGCATGTGACGGCATCTAGCTCGACAGCATCGCCAACGGCTTCTGAATATGTCTCGACGTCAACTCCAACAGGGCATGTGACGGCATCTAGCTCGACAGCATCGCCAACGGCTTCTGAATATGTCTCGACGTCAACTCCAACAGGGCATGTGACGGCATCTAGCTCGACAGGATCGCCAACGGCTTCTGAATATGTCTCGACGTCAACTCCTACAGACCATGTGACGGCATCTAGCTCGACAGGATCGCCAACGGCTTCTGAATATGTCTCGACGTCAACTCCTACAGACCATGTGACGGCATCTAGCTCGACAGGATCGCCAACGGCTTCTGAATATGTCTCGACGTCAACTCCTACAGACCATGTGACGGCATCTAGCTCGACAGGATCGCCAACGGCTTCTGAATATGTCTCGACGTCAACTCCTACAGACCATGTGACGGCATCTAGCTCTACAGCATCGCCAACGGCTTCTGAATATGTCTCGACGTCAACTCCAACAGGGCATGTGACGGCATCTAGCTCGACAGGATCGCCAACGGCTTCTGAATATGTCTCGACGTCAACTCCTACAGACCATGTGACGGCATCTAGCTCGACAGGATCGCCAACGGCTTCTGAATATGTCTCGACGTCAACTCCTACAGACCATGTGACGGCATCTAGCTCGACAGGATCGCCAACGGCTTCTGAATATGTCTCGACGTCAACTCCTACAGACCATGTGACGGCATCTAGCTCGACAGGATCGCCAACGGCTTCTGAATATGTCTCGACGTCAACTCCTACAGACCATGTGACGGCATCTAGCTCTACAGCATCGCCAACGGCTTCTGAATATGTCTCGACGTCAACTCCAACAGGGCATGTGACGGCATCTAGCTCGACAGCATCGCCAACGGCTTCTGAATATGTCTCGACGTCAACTCCTACAGACCATGTGACGGCATCTAGCTCGACAGGATCGCCAACGGCTTCTGAATATGTCTCGACGTCAACTCCAACAGGGCATGTGACGGCATCTAGCTCGACAGCATCGCCAACGGCTTCTGAATATGTCTCGACGTCAACTCCTACAGACCATGTGACGGCATCTAGCTCTACAGCATCGCCAACGGCTTCTGAATATGTCTCGACGTCAACTCCAACAGGGCATGTGACGGCATCTAGCTCGACAGCATCGCCAACGGCTTCTGAATATGTCTCGACGTCAACTCCTACAGACCATGTGACGGCATCTAGCTCTACAGCATCGCCAACGGCTTCTGAATATGTCTCGACGTCAACTCCAACAGGGCATGTGACGGCATCTAGCTCGACAGCATCGCCAACGGCTTCTGAATATGTCTCGACGTCAACTCCTACAGACCATGTGACGGCATCTAGCTCGACAGCATCGCCAACGGCTTCTGAATATGTCTCGACGTCAACTCCAACAGGGCATGTGACGGCATCTAGCTCGACAGCATCGCCAACGGCTTCTGAATATGTCTCGACGTCAACTCCTACAGACCATGTGACGGCATCTAGCTCGACAGGATCGCCAACGGCTTCTGAATATGTCTCGACGTCAACTCCTACAGACCATGTGACGGCATCTAGCTCGACAGCATCGCCAACGGCTTCTGAATATGTCTCGACGTCAACTCCAACAGGGCATGTGACGGCATCTAGCTCTACAGCATCGCCAACGGCTTCTGAATATGTCTCGACGTCAACTCCAACAGGGCATGTGACGGCATCTAGCTCGACAGCATCGCCAACGGCTTCTGAATATGTCTCGACGTCAACTCCTACAGACCATGTGACGGCATCTAGCTCGACAGGATCGCCAACGGCTTCTGAATATGTCTCGACGTCAACTCCTACAGACCATGTGACGGCATCTAGCTCGACAGGATCGCCAACGGCTTCTGAATATGTCTCGACGTCAACTCCTACAGACCATGTGACGGCATCTAGCTCGACAGGATCGCCAACGGCTTCTGAATATGTCTCGACGTCAACTCCTACAGACCATGTGACAGCATCTAGCTCGACAGGATCGCCAACGGCTTCTGAATATGTCTCGACGTCAACTCCTACAGACCATGTGACGGCATCTAGCTCGACAGGATCGCCAACGGCTTCTGAATATGTCTCGACGTCAACTCCTACAGACCATGTGACGGCATCTAGCTCGACAGGATCGCCAACGGCTCTGAATATGTCTCGACGTCAACTCCTACAGACCATGTGACGGCATCTAGCTCGACAGGATCGCCAACGGCTTCTGAATATGTCTCGACGTCAACTCCTACAGACCATGTGACGGCATCTAGCTCGACAGGATCGCCAACGGCTTCTGAATATGTCTCGACGTCAACTCCTACAGACCATGTGACGGCATCTAGCTCGACAGGATCGCCAACGGCTTCTGAATATGTCTCGACGTCAACTCCAACAGGGCATGTGACGGCATCTAGCTCGACAGGATCGCCAACGGCTTCTGAATATGTCTCGACGTCAGCCGAGAGTTCCACCTTTAGTACAACGCCGTGGCCGTCCTACTGCTACACTTTCTTCTATCTAGATTTGTCGAATTCCGTTGAGGTAGGAAAGGCAGTACAATCCAATTTTATGATTTCAAGGGTAATTACACGTCAGAACTCGCTTTTGCGCGTGAGGTTGCTGGCGGACTTTTCAATACATCTAATATGCGTTACCAGGCTGTTGTAGCCATCTATGGGAGCGTAGGGATTCTCTGGATGTGCCTGAATAATCCATTTAAGGACAATGAAGATACTATTGATTTCGGCACGCGGTACGATGATGTTGGGGCCTTTAACGAATATCTTGGGGAATTGGATCTCACGGCACCTAATAATGAAACGATCATCGAGTAATTATTTGAGGTCACTTGATTACAGCTTCAGCACGATAAACACCCTTAATGGCCAAGCTCACTTCTCGGAGGTGATCACAATATTGTTCACAGCGAGGTTTGGTTAAACTACGTTTTTCTGATGTCGGTTATTCTAGTCCGCAGTCGTATATATCTAGGGCTGGCGAAAACGAATGGAAGGAGCGCACGGTTGGTGTCGCAGTTGGTGAGCTTGGTTCGAAAGCTTTCAAGGCTTAGTTCAGGAGAACAAGACATGTCTCGCCTGGCCGAAACCAGCTTGAAAATATCGGACGGTCCAGACGCTGTTAAGCAAGCGGTGCTCGAGGAGTGCAAGCAGTTTTTCATGCCCACAACAACACCAGCAACCGTGGGGAGGGATGATACGGGTTTATGAGCTTACCGAGGTATCTTTGGCCAAATAAAAAAAAGGGCATAGTTTCTATGTCCCAAAGGGATTTTCAAAACGCCTCCACGCTTCCAATGGTCTCACCCCTCAAGGGATAACGATTCAAGGTTAGGAGGATTGTCAATTCGAGCTTTGTATCGCAATAAAATATATTATTTTTGAAATACAGCACGAATTAGTGGGCTTTTTTTGCTTTTAAAACCAAATCCTTCTATCCTTTTCCCGGAGCTTATAAGCTGTCGTGTGGAGGCATATCCGGTCGCTGGAGTTATCTTAGCAGGAAAAATGTCTTTCCCGCCCCAATTTTAGTACCGACGCCCTTGAATGAGGGCGCCTTATCGGCCGCTAATATAGGCTTTTGAGCAAGTCGAAACGCAATCCAGAACAACACAGCTCCATCTTCTTTCATCCAGCGTGCCAAAATGAAGCAAATGCTAGTTTTGATGCTGCTGAGCAACATTTTACTCTCCCACCTATGTTTCGGCGTCGAGCGCGAGGAACTTGGCGTCAGATCCGAATGCAAGGTGCTGTTCGTGGCTGATTTGTCGGACCGAGCGCCGGTGAGTTGGTTGAAGCAACGCACAGCGCTTTTAAAATAGCCTTCCCAAACACAAACCATTCTCTCGTCGATGAATGAGGTGTTCAACGGGGCCGCTGCGAATAATCTCAACATTTCCATGGCCTTTTGGCGCTATAGTAAAGGTGGCGACTTTGATGGTCCGGTTCCGACCACTTTTGTCTACACCCTAGAAGATGTGGTCTTCAACTTTGCGCTACCAGGAGGGCCATTGGATATTGGATAGTAGGGTTTTGTTTTCTGAGCACTATGACGTGTCTTCAGCGCCACGGACAGCCTTTCAAGCTGGGCTGTGCAAGACGTGGTTGTCGTGTTGTTCACTGGAAGGTGTGTTTGAATTTCCGGAAGTGGAGCTGTTCAGGATCTTCTTAATAAGTAAATTTAGTGATCCAAGCAAGTTTCCCGCCGCTGCGCAAAACTATACACGAAAGTCGATGACGGTTGGTGTTGCAGGTGGCTTAGATATTCCAGCAAAAAAAAAACCTTTTATAGTTGGTGCGCAGACAAGTGCGTTCGCCGCCATTTCGGTCAAAGCCATGCAACCAGCGACGATCTATCAAGCCGCCCTCAGCCTATGCCAACCTAACAATGGTAGGACGACACGACGAACCTCTCCATAGTAGTTATCTAGTTGTAAACCATAAAGGCTATTGCAGTACCACAAACGAGTAATCGCGGTGCCTTCGCTTAAATTTTGCGAACAAAACACCAAAATTTAGGGTTTACTACGGCGCAACCGAGCCCGACCGTCAACACTGTCAGCACGACCACCACAACTTCCCTGCCAACTTGCAAGGCGCTCTTTGTCGCGGATTTGAGTGATTCTGGCAGGGATTGGGTTCGTTTGTGAAGGCCAGATTTTCAACATCCACAACAATTATTGTGCCTTTCAGACAATTTGCTGCTGCTAAATTTAGTTCATCGAGAGGAGCCTGATCCGTGCCTCGGTCGCAGCGCTATTCGATGGTGCTCGTAACAAACAATTGAACGCATCGGCCGCCTTTTGGCGATACAGCAGTGGGCCGGCAACGGATGGAGCCATTCCCACTGATTTCTCTTACAACCCTACCGGCGTACCCTACAACTGGGAAGATGCTGGAGGAAGCCTGGATATTACCGAGTTTGGCATTTTTGGAGGTGGATTTATCTTGTTTAGTGCCGTCACATCACTCAACGGTTGGAGCGTCACAGATGCTGTAATTGTCCTCTTCACCGCTAGGTAGTTTCGATTCACAGCATTACGCTTTTGTTCAGCAATCAACCAACCATCAACACTGCCGGGGAAATTTATGGCCGGAAGCAAATAACTGTAGGACTTGCTAGTAAGTTGTCTAAAAACTTCCTAAGATTGCTTTCAAGATGGCAACGACGCATCACCCTATGCTGCCTACCCCGTTCATGGTCAGGATTCAAATATGATTTCTGAGGCCATTATCAGTCTATGCCAAAACTTCCCAAACACTGACATTTCCACGAGCGAAGGGAATCCGCATTTGAATGGTGTTGATTTTGGAAGAAACAGGATGCAATATCTATAAAAATGGGTTCAAGCGATAAATATTATGCAAAGCAATATCCGCATTGTACGTCTGCGCATAATTAATCAGTTTTATAGAAGGGAAAAGAGAAATTTTGAGCCAGGACTACGACCGAGTCAGATTCACGATAAATTTTTGACATGGCGCTTTGACATTCGATAAATTTCTTATCACTAGTCGTAATTCCTTTCTAGGCTGAAATATCAGGAAAATCCTACAACTCTGCTACTCCATACAAGGACAAAAATTTCTTCTGGCCTCAATTTTAGTACCTCCTTGAATGGGCTTCTTATCGGCCGCTAATATGGGCTTTTCGAGCAGGTCTGAACTCAAAACCGGGCAACTCTCGGCCGCACTTTTCTCACCGAGACGCTAAAATGAAATCAATACGAATCTTCGTGCTACTGTGTATTATCTTACTCACCCACTCATGTTTCGGCACCGGGCAAGACGAATTTGACATCAGGTCCGAATGTAGGGTGCTGTTCGTGGCCGATTTGTCTGACCGAGCGCCGGCAAGCTTTTTTTCAATTAACATACATAGGTTTTAAATAGCCTTCACAAACGCAAACCATTCTCTCTTCAATGAATGAGGTTTTCAACGCGGCCGCCGCCAACGACCTCAACGTTTCGATGGCGTTTTGGCGATATAGTCATGGTGGTGACTCTGACGGGCCGATCCCGACCACTTTTGTCTACAAGATGCAGGACGTGATTTTCAACTTTGCGCTACCTGGAGGGCCGCTTGATGTTATATAGTTCGTTCGAAAGATAGCATGATATAATATTTCCTCAGCGCGACTGAATCGCTTTCGAGTTGGTCGGTGCAAGATGTGGTCATTGTGCTTTTCACTGGGAGGTGCGTTTCGATTTGGTAATTTGAACTATTGCCACATTCTTGGCCACGTTTCTCCATTTAGCGATCCTAGCAAATTTCCGGACGCGGGTCGGAACTACCCTCGCAAATCAATGACTGTTGGTGTGGCCGGTTTGTTTACTTTCAAAAAATTTGCTATCAAAATGAAATTGTAGATCATGGTGTCGAAATTCAGAATGCCGAAATTTCATAATGTTGAAATGTCGAAACGCCGAAATGCCATAATGTCAAGATTCCATAACGTCGAAATTCAGAATGTTAATTTTTCGCACAGGATTTGGTAGTTTTTCCCGGAAATTTTTCCGTATTATGTAAATTTTGTCGTTCTGAATTTCGAAATTATGCTTTGCGACGTTTTGAAAGAAACCTTTTCTAAAAAGCTTGCTTAGTTGGTGCAGACACGAGCGCATTTGCCATAATCCCGATCCCGTTCCTGCAGCCATTAACCATCATCGAAGCAACCGTAGATTTATGCCGAACACAGCAGACTTCCACGCCAGCACCTGTAAGTTCCATAACCTCCCACGTTATTTCTAGCTGTAGATGCCCACATATTGTAAAACATTTTTCTACCTTGATATGTCGAACGCAGCCGTGGTGAGAAATTGCCGCGGGGTTAGCGACCTACATTTTAGGGACAATATTATTCGCAAATTTCGTTTGCCGATGCCGTGGCTGCGAAACTTTTTAGTATCTCAAAACTGAATTTCCAAGCTGGTGCAGCTATATATGGCAGTGTAGGATTTTTTGGGATATAACACATTCACTTTGAAGTTAGGATAATGAAGGTGCTCTTGATTTGGGGACGCTATTCGATGATTCTAGGTCATTCAGCGAGTATCTAACGGAACTGGATCTCACGGCGCCCAATGATGAATCGATAATAGAGTCGGCCTGGTATCCTTGTAATTTCTGGTTTTAGGGCCATTGCTACGATGAATAACAAGGGCGGCTTCGCTCAGTTCATCACAATATTGTTCACAGCAAGGTGGACCTTCTCGGTTTTGTAATTGAATACTTTAGCCCACAGTCCGAGATGTCGATGTCTCCCGATAACAAATGGAAAGATCTAACTGTTGGTCTGGCCATTGGTGAGCAAGCCTATGACTTTCCCAAAAACGGTTTTAGGGGATCAAAACATGTCACCACGATTAGTCGAAACGAGTTTGAAAATGTCTCAGGGCCCAGACGCTGTTATGCAAGCGGTTCTCACGGAATGTAACAAGTTTTTCGTGCCCACGCCACCCGCTGAAATCAGAATTAATGATAAGGGTTTATGAATTGGCGGAGAGATAAAAATATCTCTAATGGTTATGATTAGGTGCTATTCAGGTAGTACAGCGGATTTTCAATATTTCTTGACGCTTCCCGAGGGTCTCAATTTATAAGGAATACCTCTCAGTACTAGGAAATTGCTTAAAAACGCAGAGTATCGAAAGAAATGTACAAAATAACTCATTGAGCACACTATAGTGCAGTCACAAAATAAAAGAGCACACACAAATTCGCGGGCGTTCTCTGTGTTGCCCACCTGCGTGTTCTTCTAATCATAAGCCGAACACGTCCTTTTGGCATCAATTTTGGTGCCATGATTTTGTCTGAATTTCCCCCTTATCAGCGATTATAATCAGCTTTCTGGGCGGATCAAAACCTAAATTTCGGCAAGTTGACGGCAAACATTTGTCTTCGGAACGGCTCTGGAGCACTTCATCCTTGGCAATCATCACCTGGGCCTGAAGCTAATGATCATAATTCCGTTTGTTTTTGGTATTTCTTTGCTTGCGAGCTTGTGCTTGACGAGTAGCGCCGATGAATTGGCTGTGAAAACACCGTGCCATGTCCTTTTTGTGGCTGATTTGACGGATCGAGCGCCGGTAAGTGTTGTGGCAATCGGAGTTTTTAAACAGGACCTTGTGCAGCAATCGGAGTTTTTAAACAGGACCTTGTTTTTAAACAGGACCTTGCGCAGCAGCACTAACAGATTAAGGAAGAGATGGTGCTGTAAATCCGAAAAAGTGTTTGAAATTGGCTTGGTCACTTGAACTCCGCAGAATAACAGCTAGTCGGCGCGACTTGTCCAGACAAAGATGTTCGTTCCAAATGAGCTATGCAACGCCAAACTTTTGAGAATTCGCCTTAATAATGGTTTTCTGACGACGTGTAGCTTTATAGCAATTTGAGCAGAATTGGCAACACCAAGCTTACTCAAAAGAAATCCTTTTTCGGGAATATGGGTGGTTAGCGGGCTTGGGCGAATTATTTATCCGCTGGTGGCCCGTGAAGGTTAAAATAGGCGGTATCAAGCTTCTTCGCACCTTAAGTCTGCGTAGCTTTTGATCCGGGTCGTTTGTAGTCAGTCAAAAATTTGGAAATTCCAAACTTCAAAACTCCTGTTTCGAAACGACCATGTTACTAAAAACCTCCCCGTGAGCGCGACGGTGATTTATCTAGGCAACCCAAACCCAAACGATCATGGCCACCATGAATGAGCTATTGACTGGAGCCCCGGCTAATGGCATCAATGCTTCGCTAGCTTACTGGCGATACAGTCGAGGTGGAGAACTGGACGGGCCGATACCAACTACGTTCGTTTACCGCCTCCAGGACCTAGTGCTCAATTTTGGGCTTCAGGGCGGCCAGCTGGACATTGGATAGTAGGTTTTCTCTCAGAAGTGACCCGGGTTTTGATTTAGTGCTACGGATATGTTATCGGATTGGTCCGTGGAAGATGCCGTGATTGTGCTCTTTACTGGGAGGTAAGGTTTCGGCTTAGGCTTATGCTTGAACTTAAGCCTGGCTCAGGCGTATGCCTAGGATGGGGCTTAGGGACAGGCTTAGGTTAAGCTGCGGCCTATAAGCCTCACCAATTTTTGTAGCGACCCACACAAATTTCGGGACGCCGGCTGGAATTACACGCGCAGGCCCACGACCATCGGAGTTGCTGGTATCGCACCGAAGGCGTAAATTCGTAGACCAATTTTTAGACGGTGCCGACACTCGAGCTTTTGCCGTGCTTCCGGTCCCATACCTTCACCCAATCGCAATCTACGATGCGACGATACAACTTTGTCGTACTGCCGTACCAACCCGTGCTCCGCCTACCACCACCACAATTCTGACGACCACCCCGGTTGATTATCGAGCGCGTTGCAGCGTCGCCTTTTGGCTGGACGCTTCTTATGAAGCCTGGGTAAGCATGGAAGCTCAAAAGAGATGTACGGATCCTAGGTCAGCTACGAGGCCCAGAAGCAGCACACGCTTGCCGCTGCCAAACAAGCCTTTCAGAAGTACGACGGCGGAGCGTTTCTGTTTCAAGCCAGTGTTTGGATCCTGGGGCAGGTACGTTAGCCTAAGCAAGCCTAAGCCCAACCCAAGCCAAATCCTATGCTGAAGCTAAGGCCAGGCCTAGGCCTGAACCGTGTCTCTCTCTCTAGGGGATGGGTGCACCAACGCTCGACACACTGGAAACCAACTTCGCCAGCTTCAACCAGACACTCCAGGGCTTGGATAGGCTACTCAAAGTCACTAAGGCCGATAATTCGACGATTGCCACGTAGGATTGAGTTCTCACTCTCACAAAAGCCTAATTAACTTTAGCACTATCGGCTTCATGAATTCGCAGCCCTTCTACCCTCACATCACCCTGTTCTTCACCAACAGGTTTGAGCTGGGTTTTTGAGAAATTGCCCAAATTTTAGCAACCAAGCCGAGATTGATGCATCACCAGAAAACGCGGACCGATCATCAAGTTACGGTTATGACTTTACGCGTAAGTATACCTATTAAACTCGAAGATAACTGACTTTTTAGCTGTCAATCTGATGCGCCTGGCGAATTCGATCTCCGACCCGCCAGCGGCTGGGATGGTGGATGTTATCGACAACTATTGCCGGAAAATCCATCAGGATTGAAGTAACTAATAATAAAGTGGTCATATTACTCTGTTATATGCGGTTCATAAGTTCGAAAAGCATGCCACCGTTAACAACTTACAAGTACCTGGTGCTAACACCGTTAGGGGGGCTGTCCGGAATTCATAGTAAGAGGTTACAAGGCGTTCCGCCTATGTTTTTTGGTTTTTAGCTTAAGCCAAGGCTTAGCTTTGTTTCAAATCTGCAAACGAAACAATACAAACAAAATACAAACGATTATAGCAAAACTTGCTAAAACCATAATCGCAGCCCAGACTGAGCTCAAGGCGTAAACAAGAATGTCTCAAAACTTACGCATCAAAAAAACAAAATAGTTCGAAAAGAATCAAAAGACAATTGAAACGAAAAGTAAATCTGGGCAGAGTCGAGTACTCACGGCCGTAATCGGGCTTATCTCTGGTGCAAACCGTCAAAGGCTGTGTGTAGCAAAACCGTGTTCAACGCCCCTTTATCTTTACGCCGCCCAGAGCCGCACCTCATAAATTAGAACCCTCGTAAAACATTGGCCATTTTTTGGGTCGGGCTACTAAAAATTTGCAAAAGTAATGGCTTTAATAGCATGTAGAGATTTTTTGGGTTTTTGAATAGTATTGTGGATAGACTTTTGGCCATTAATTAGGCGAGACCATTAGAGTAGGAGAATTTAAACCTTTCAGCAAGTTTCAGGGTTATATTACGTATCTCTAGCATCATTCCGACCATCTTATCATGTTAAAAAACCTACTGATATCGTCGATGGATCCGAAAATGGTTATGAGATAAATCGCTCTAATTTTTTAAAACCGTCTCCCCAAATTTCTCCCCAAGTCTTGATACAACTTCGGAATCAGCAAAAAAAATTCTGCACAAGATAAATTAGATTCTGATTGTAAATTAATTTTCAGCCCCCTCCCCCCCCCCCCACCGTGAAAACCCATCAAAGTTGGCGTGGTGCAAAGCCGATACCTCTCAATACAACCCTCACGGGCAATAGTCATTTCCTCATTTCCACCACATTTAAATTCCTTATCAACTTCACATTTACGAACTCCTTCATGTCATCCCCGATTCTTAGCCCGATTAAGCGTATTAAACCCACGGGCTTAGCGTAGCAGAAGGGTTTCTGCTCTGACGAGGGCCCCACTCTAATTCCATCGTTATCGCATCCGGAACGGGGTGTGGCCGCCAAGAAGGCGACAGGCAGCACCCCGAAGCCGCAAGATTATCCCCTGCCAGAGCTACTGGTATGACTTCTGTTTCATTTAACTCTAGTTTGCTTTGTTAATGAAACTTCGGCATCAAGGATACACGCTTTAGAGATTGTGAAGTCAGGAACCTACGCTTACTTAAACCTAAGGGAATATTATTATTTGTAGCTTTTTGTGTTTAACGTAATTCAAGGTTACCTTCACACTTTTAACTTTTCATAGCTACGCCTACTAGCCAGTATTGAGCAGTATATTCCGGTTTTAAGACGTGAATTGCTCATTCACTTATCTTCCTTCAAAGGTGACGGGCTGTAAATCCGGTGACCGCTAGTTTACAGCCTGAAGCAACGAGCACATTTTTCCAACCACTGTCCTATTTTGTTCTTATCTTCTTTTCCGAGTCTAAGCCAAAGCCTAAGCTTAAGCCGAAGTTCAATCCGTAGCCTAACCAAAAGGCCCAAACCCAAGCCCAAGCCTACCCTAGGTCTAGGCCTAAGCCTAAGTTTAGTCTAAGCATAAGCCTAAGCCTAAGCATCAGCTTGCGCCTTGTTGTGTCTTGCGTAGATGTGTGTCAGCGCGGGACGAACAGTTCCAAAAGACTGTTTATTCGACGAGCGACATGGCGGCAAGAGGAGGAGGAAATTAGAACTGAATTGGAACTGGGGAAATAAATGCCATCGCTGGCCCAGTGGGGAGAGAGACCCCGCTACGGTGGAAAGGGCACTGGATAGGCGAGGGGCCGGGGGCGAAGGGAAAAGGCGGGGGCGCTCGAAGGCGCTCCGCAACACGCCTAATCTTAGAAAATGTTCCCAATTTCAGGAGCATTCCTTGCAGGCCGGGCAGCAACTTGGGCTAGATGGCCTCGTCCGTCTACGGGCGCCGTCGATGGCTGCCTCTCGTATTCCTGATTTTTGTGTTGCTGGCTGTGGCAATATCAATAGCTTTGGTAGTGATATTGGTGGATCGAGGGAAAACAAATGGTGAGGCTTTTTGTTAAATTTTAATCTGGCCTTGGCAGTACGTTTAAGTCAAAAACGGATAATCTTTAACCTGCTATAGCGCCCGAACAACCTCCATACCACGCAACCTTTTCCTTATATCTAATCGACAAAAATCAAACCCAATTGTTCTACGATGGTGCAGAAGCTGACAACGATGATGGATGCTATTATTTGTCAGATGTAAGATACGGTTTCTTCTGAATACAGTCATTTAGACGAAAACGATAGTCAAAAGCACCTTAACAGGCCTGAAAGACGGTATTCAAGTTAGCTTCCTAACATATGGAGAAGGGAAGGACTCGGCGTTGATGTCTTCAACTATGGGAAAAGCTGACGCTCTGGATTTTCTGGATAAGAATATTAAGGCTCTGAACGATAACATGCATGCAAATGAGTGGTCGTTAGTTTTAGAATAATTTCTCTCTCTCTCTCTGTCTCTCTCACTTCCTCTCTCTCGTTCACTCACTCACTCTCCCATCTTTCTCTCTCTCCCTCTCTCTCTCTCTCTCTCTCTCTCTCTCTCTTTCGCTTCTTTATATCCCAAATTCAGAGCTATGGATGCCTACAACAAAAGCCAAATCACCAGCGAGCTTGTCTACTTTGTACCCTGCAAGAAATTGTGAGTACAAGAGTAGCTTACTCCAAAAACCCAGTTTAGCCAACTACCAGACGCCGTCGGCAAAATGTTCAACAACCACTACATCTCGAAGCTGATATTGATCTCTGGTGACATGCAGAAAAAAGAGATGCACGATCGATACGACGTCACGCCAACTAAGGACAACGAGACGTTCTACATAGATCAGACCGTGACGAAGGATGACGTCTCGGATCAGCTGCAGCATGATTTACCGGTTGAGGTGGTGGTGACCACGCAGAAGCCGTTGACCACGACCACGGCGACGACCACGCCGACGACAACGATGACGACCACGACGACGACAACAGCTACGACTACAACTCCATTGGTACCAACTACCGAGAACGAAACGAGTACTTCTGTACCAACGAGTACTATGGAGCCTTCGACATCTGCGTCATCGGCGTCTCCAGTTGCAACTACGAAGAAAGTCAAAACAACGACGTCTGCTACAGGTCCAACAAGCACTGCCACCACTGGAAGTGCAGCCACTACGACCTCGCCGAAGACCAAGGCTACAAAGACCACCTTAATGCCACCTGGCAGCACCGCCATGCCGCCAAATACGACTTCTGGAGCTCCCAGCACCACGCAGAAGGTCGAGACGACGGCTACATCTCAATCAGGTAGTACGACAACTGGACCTCCAACGACACTCACTTCTACGAAGACGAAAGCTACGAAAACGACATCAATAACAACTGGCAGTACGGCGACATCGCAAAGTACGACGCCTGGAACTGCAACTACGACACAATCGCCAAAAACAACTGCTACAGCACGACCGAGTAGTGCAACAACCGGAGCTACGACGCCGACGACTTCTCCCAAGACCAAAGCAACAAAAACTACTACAATTCCGACAGCGGGAACAACGATGTCAAGCACGAGTAACTTGCCGACTATGGGAACGACACAGTCAAGTGGGGCAACATCTGCAGGTACCACTGTTACAACGAGTGTCAAAACGAAAGCAACCAAGACGACTTCTATGCCTACGACTCAGACTGGTACTGTCAGTACCACGAAACAGCCGAAGACGACTGTTACAGCGCAAACGGGCAGCACAACGGGAGCTACAGTGTTGACTACGGCAAAGACTAAGGCTACGAAGACTACGTCCCAAGCCAGTACTCAAACTAGTGGGACCACGGTGTCCCAGACGACAGTCGTTGTCGCTTCTAGTACGACTAAGAACCCGAAGACCACTGCTACGGTACAAACGGGCAGTACGACGCAACCGACAAGTACTGCCAAGACGAAGGCTACGAAAACTACTTCAATTCCGACTACTCAAACTGGAGGAACCACTGCCACTGGCCCTTCGAGCACCACCAAGAAGCCGAAAACGACCACCACTACGCAGTCGGGCAGCACGACCACTGGAGCTACACTGACAACCACTGCCAAGACCAAGGCTTCGAAGACGACCACCATGGCGACCTCCTTGGGTACCACTACCCCAGCAGTCATCGTCCCGCACTGTTATGCTTACTTTTTGATAGATGCCTCTACATATGGTAGCCCCGTAAGGATAGTACTTCCAATATAGCAGACTATCATTTCATTCAGTTTACAAAATCTGAAACCCTCATGATACGAGCTGCAGCACAAAATTTATATGTCTATGCTGAAGTGAAAACACACGTCGGATTCGGAGCGTATGGAACTGTAAGTCTAACTGAAGAACGTTGTAAGGAGAACAAAAATGTAGTAAATAGAAGATAATATTCTTGTTTCAGATTGCCGGCGTGCCTAACGTGGATCAGTTCTACGACGACGCAGATACGCTGAAAAACGCCTTGGATGGTTACGTTTTTGGCGATCCAAATGGAGATGCGAATGTTACCGAGTAGGTTGTAACAGCTTTAAGGCTAGGAAGCGCCAGTCGAAGCCTGATAGCGCGTAGCGTAGATTTAAAGACCTAGTAAACAGTAATCCTCGATTACAAACACTTCTGAGTCCCTAAAACTCAGTTATTTTCAAGAGCCGTCGGTTATCTGAACGACCTCGCGGCTTTCAACGCTTTTGCAACGCTGGTCTTTACAGATAGGTAACGTAAAGAAATCAATTTTGTTTTTTCAAGACACCGCTTATAGCCCAAAGAACGTCATCGACGCAACGCCAGAAAACCGTCTAAAGAATCAAACGATCGGCTGTGCACTTGAAGGTGGGACATCAATCCGCTTGGCAAAGGAATTTAGATCAGGACATGAGCCACATCGCCGTCCAGACCTACAGCCTAGCACAAAGTGCAGATGCGGCTGCTAAGCTCAGAGATATCTGCCTTGGCTTGAATGTAGTGACTACACCAAGTGGTCCTAAGACGACCACGAGGACGGCTAGCAGCTCGACGCAAACTAGCGTGCAAACCTCGACTTCGGCGAGTTCTTCGGGCACCACTGTCAGCACCAGTAGCGGCACTCCTGGGACGAGTACCCCGACGGTCTCTACCAGTCCCGGATCTACGCCAACCACGAATAATCCAACAGTTTCCGGTACCTCGAGCCAAGGTAAGGGTTCTAAAAACGCATGAGAAAAACCAAACAATAAAAACAACTAAAACATTCGTTTCAGGACCAACAGCGACGTCGACCACCGAGAACCACTCTCCTTCGACGGAATCCTTTACGACTCAACACGTTCCCTCTTCGACTCTTCAGACAACAGTCGCTACCGGAAATCCAGAATCCACAATCAGCCACACGACACCTCTCCCGTTGACAGTCTGCAAAGCTCTCTTTGTTGCGGATCTTTCTGATGCCGCCGTTAGCATCGTATGTCGTTTTCTAGCTCAAAATCCAATATTGACATTTGCAGCCGTCCGAAAAGCCTTTGCTGGTTGCCTCGATGTCGAAATTGTTCGAAACTGCCGCGAGCAATCGACTGGATATGTCGATTGCATTCTGGAGATACAGTCGTGGAGCTGATGTCGATGGACCGGTCCCGACTACCTTTGCCAAAAGGCTTTTCGATGTGCACTACGACTTTAATAACCCGGGAGGGGATCTGGATATTGTCAAGTAGGATGTGCCCATCTATATTTAGAATATTCATTCAGCGCCACTACCTCATTGAATGCATGGCCGGTTCAAGACGCATTAATTGTGCTGGTCACCGGAAGGTTTGTATCATCGAGTACTGAAAATCGCGGTTTTAGCTTTCAAGCGGAGGTCAGGTTGGCAGGAAACATTTATACGAAACGAGCGGTTACTGCTGCAGTTTCGGCCACAGGTGAGCCTAATGAGATGCGTGAAAGACATTTGGCACTTACAGATCTCGACACTACTTCGATAGCTGTGGTGTCAGTGCCACTCGACTCGACGGCTATTGTAGAAACCGTCATTTCCCTGTGCCAAAATCAGCCAACCCTGACAACAACTGCTCCGCAAACTGCCAGAAGCTTGAGCACCCAGCAGCCAAGTGCTTCATCAACTCAAACCGCTCCTACGGAGTCCACAACGTCACCGACAGGGAGCACGAACATGGTCACGACCTTGTCCTCCACATCAGGAAGCTCTAGCCCGATGCCTAGCAGTGGTACAGCAACGCCAACTAACTTCTCGGCGACTTCAAGTACTCTCACGCCAAGTTTGGTGCCATCTACTGGCATAAAAACGAGTACCAGCGGCCCGACGTCTAGGCATAGCGAAACTACATGGGTAAGTACGCTCGCGCCTCAATCAACGATTTCCTCGACCCCTACGGAATCTTCTTCTGGATCCACGTCGAATACGCATTATACGCAAGGGAGTACGACCTTGGTGGTCGTGTCAAGCTCAAAATCAACTAGTCTGACTCCGTCAACTACAGCATCTGTGTCTACCGAGACACCGAAAGCATCTTTTGGCTCAACAGCTGGCGGAACGAGCCCGACCACGCCAGTGTCCTATGCGACACAAAAACAATCTTCTGTCTCAACTTCGGGGTCTACGACATCGGGAGAAACGTCCCCAACCGTACCGGCCTCAAGCTCGGTTCTCCCAACAAACCAGAGCCCGACTACCACCTCGCCAACTTCTAGCACAGCACAGTCTGCAACGACCACTCCGGCACTGCCTAGTTCTGCGTCATCCGAAACTAATACAGGTAAGCCTCTCCAACGAGTCTTGACGGAAACCGTAGTAGGCAGTAATATTTTTCCATTTCAGCACCAACTTCTACCGTTCCGGGAACCTCTAGCACCCAGTCTGGCGCCTCCACGACCGGGACGACGGCTTACCCTTCCACAACTGGTTCGGGTGTGAGCTCGACGGAGAACACGGGATCCACGATTAGCCCAACACCCACTATTCCGCTGACACAATGCAAGGCGCTGTTCGTCGCAGATCTTTCTGATGGCGGCGTCGCAAACCTGGTTTCTTGCCTTCTGCGTCTTCACCTGTTCTTATAGGTTTTACAAAAGCCTACAATGGTGACCTCAATGAATAATTTGCTACAAGGTGCTGCGAACAATCAATTGGACATGTCCATAGCATTCTGGCGCTACAGTAGTAGCCCGAATTTTGATGGGCAAATACCAACAACTTTTGCCAAGACCCTGTTTGGCATTGGCTATAAATTTGATAACACGGGAGGAAATCTCACAATCATCAAGTAAGGTTTTCCGGAATTTTCTCTAAATCGATAATATAGTGCCACGAGCGCCCTCACGGACTGGGTCGTTCAAGACGCGTTTATTGTGCTGTTCACTGGCAGGTACTCAACCCTTTTAAGTTAAAACTTACAGCGCTCTTTTAGTTCCCAGAAAGACGTGGATTTTGCTGGGCAAAGTTATTTAAGGCAAGCAATGACCATTGGTGTTTCTTCATCAGGTGACGGTGATTACGGACAATCAATGCTGTTTAGATCAAAACCTGAATACTTCTGCAATTGCGGCTGTGTCATTACCACTGGATTCTACCGCTATTGCGGCAGCGGTCGTTAGTCTCTGCCAGAATCAACAACAGGCGTCGTCAACGACTGCTGTTTTTACTACCAGTTCAAGCCCCAAGCAGTCCGAGAGCACCGTAAGTGTGGGCTCAACACTGTCGAGCTCTAATACGCCAGAAATTATCTCGAGCTCGGCTAGCACGATGACCACACTTGGATCAACCACCCAATCTACAGCACCAAGCGACACAACTACGCCTATTGGTTCGGCTAGTACGGTTGCATCAACCAGTGGCACAGCAATATCCACATCGATTGGCGCTTCCAGCATGCCCCCATCGTCTTCCAGTCCCATGCCCACAGAAAATCACCCCTCCACATCAAGCCCAACAAATTCTCCTGTCATCGGCTCTAGCACCATTCTCTCGACGTCGGGAAGTTTCACCTCCACGTCACCTGGCCCTTCAAGCGGTGTTACATCGTCATCAACTCAAAATCCTACTGAGAGATCAACTGTCACTTCGACGAACGCTCATTCTACCCAGGCCGGTACAACGTCAAGCACGTCAACGTCAGAATCGCCAAATAGCAGTCCCTCAACCGCCTCGTCAGCTTCACCTAGAACCCAACCTTCCTCCTCTGGACCAACTTCTAGCGTCCCAAGCTCGAGCGCGTCCACAGGGTCCGGCTCAACACCTGTGCTTACAACCTTTCAAAGTACCACTTTCACATCAGAGCCAACGAGCACAGCACAATCTGCAGGTTGAATTTATGAATTTTAAAAAAAAACTGGCATTTCAGCCTCGACATCAACCGTTCGGGGAAGCTCCACAGCCCCTACGACTTCTTATCCTACCACCAACAGCTCAACCGTGCCATCTACGGAGAATACGGGATCAACCATGAGCCCTACCACTTCGATCCCACTGACACCTTGCAAGGCTTTATTTATTGCCGATCTTTCTGATGCGGGCGTCACAAATTTGGTTTGTTTGCTTTTTCGAGCTCAAGGTTTTCGCGCATTTCAGGTCTTGCAAAAGCCGGTGCTAGTTGCCTCGATGTCAAATTTGTTCGAGGCAGCCCCGGCCAATCACCTAGATATGTCGATCGCATTCTGGCGATACAGTAGTGGGGTTGATGCGGATGGACAATTACCGACGACCTTTGCGAATCAACTAATTAATGTTAGTTACGATTTCGGAAACCAGGGCGGCGCCCTGGATGTTGTCAGGTAAGCCTTTTATTGAGTTCAAAAATTTGGTTTCCAGCGTTACTAATGCCTTAAACGGTTGGCAGATCGACGATGCCTTCATTGTTTTGTTCACGGCCAGGTAGGTGGGATCATAAATGGTCATTTTAAACTTTTAGTGAACAAAAAGAAGTTGATTTGGCAGGAAAAAGTTATTCAAGGAAAGCAAAAACTGTGGGAGTATCCAGTGCCGGTAAAACCAAAGATCAGCTTAAACGGCTTTCTTTTTAGCCAAACCAAATACATCTGCGATCGCCACTGTGTCCTTGGGTATGGATTCTACAGGGATTGTAGAGACTGTAATTGGTCTCTGCATACATCAACCAAGTCCTTCCTCAGCTACGGTACAGCCGACAAGTAGCTCCGGGACTCAACCGACCGAAGCCAGCACATCAGTCAGCTCAACGCGTGCTACTTTACAGACTCCGGAACCTTCTAGCACATCGACGACTAGCACTGGCTCGACGCCAGCTATCTCAACGTCAAGCCCAGCTGGCTCATCTACGACTTCGACTAGCACGAGCACTGTTAGTGCGACGCGTAGTGCAACAACAACTACCTCCACTGTTGCTCCTTCCTCGCCCCCAACGCCGACCGAGGTACCATCCAGATCGTCAACGAATATCCATTCCACTCCCGAGGCCACCACAACTTCCGCTTCAACTACATCCCCTTCTACCTCGATTCCAAGGTCAACAGAGAATCCCTTTGGATCGTCGACAATCATTCATTCCACTTTCGAGGTCACCACAACTTCCGCTTCAACCACAGTTTCTCCTTCATCGGGTCCGGTCCCGACAGAGAATCCCTCTGGATCGTCGACAAACGCTCATTCGACCTCCGACTGCACAACTTCAGGGCTGATGACAAGCTCAGGGCCGCCTAGCTCAACAACCACTACAGCGCCATCGACATCTGGAACTCAGCAATCGTCATCGGGACCAAGCTCAACCTCAACATCGCAAAACCCGAGCTCTTCCACAGGATCACAGCCAAGATCTGTTGCTACCACCACACAGAGTACCACATCAACGACTCAAGGCTCCAGCACATCAAATTCAGCGTCAACGAGCGCTCCAGTGCCAAGCTCACAGACAACGGAGCATCATCCAAGTAGGAATTTTGACTATATGATTCTTCGATATTCACCGCGTGTCCAGCTTTACATCGAAAGTTTCAGAGTCGACATCAACACTAGCGGGAAGCTCAAGCTCGCAGACAAGCGAGGCAACAACTGGTTCGAAGACGCGTCCGACTTCAGCCTCGTCTGCCCCGGGCTCGTCATCTGGCACGGGTTCCACCATGAGCTCAACAACCTCGATCCCGCTGACCCAGTGCAAGACTCTATTTGTTGCTGATCTTTCCGACTCAGGCACCAAAAACATAGTATGTCAATGTTTCGATTAAAACACTCTTTTTAGCTCCTACAAAAACCTATCTTGGAAGCCTCCATCCAAAACTTGTTCAACGATGCCCCGAGCAATCAGTTGGACATGTCGATCGCATTCTGGAGATACAGTAGCGGAGGGGATGCCGATGGAACTGTGCCAACTACCTTCGCGAAAGGTTTCGATGCCGACAACTACGACTTTGGCAATACGGGAGGAAACTTGGACGTCATAGAGTAGGAGTTCCATTTTCGTATAATTACGGTTTTAGCGCCACCACTGCTTTAAACGCCTGGCTTATTCAAGACGCCTTCATTGTACTATTTACGGGCAGGTCGGTGTCCCCGAAAAAACCAGTATTGCCTTATTTTAGCTCTCAATCACAGGTCGACGCGGCAGGGAAGTCCTACTTGAAACAAGCCCTGACTGTAGCGGTGTCGTCCCCAGGTGCGGAAATCGTAACGTCAATAGTCATATTTTTTAGATCAAAATATTAATACATCCTCGATTGGTGCTGTCTCTTTGACGCTGGATCAGACCTCCATTGTACAAACGATCCTTGGGCTTTGTAAAAACTACCCGAGCGCTTCTTCAACTCCTGGGCTTACCACTGGGAGTGCGGGTACCCTTCTGACAACCCCAAACATGCAGTCGAGCTCGTCTGCTGCGGCTACAACTGGGTCATCGGAGCTGCCATCCAGTCCCAGCTCGGTTCCCACGACAACCAACGTTCGAACGACAACATCAACATCTACACAATCGCATACCACAGCTAACATTGCGTCAACTGGCCAGACCTCATCACCGCAGGGCTCAAGCACTTCACCGGCGCCTAGCACGATCGGGTCGAGTATCGGAACCACGGCGACCAGTTTAGGTGGCTCGACGGTTACTGTGGTCTCGTCCACAAGCCCGGCTTCAACTGTCTTGCCCAATGGCTCCAGTACGCCTCCCAGCACCTCCGTAGCTTCAACAAGTACAAGCGTCCCTTCTGAGTCATCAAAAGCTACTCAAGCTACCGGTAGTTACTCTACTGTATCCACGGGACCAAGTACGTCCCAGTCTTCCGCGTCCTCAACAGCTACTCGAGCTACTGTAATCTCGGGATCAAGTACGTCTGAAGGAACGTTCGGAACCAGTACGACCGGTCTACCTGGAAGTACAAGCACGACTTCTTCCGCTACCTCGGCTTCTGAGAACACTTACTCCACAGCAATTCCTACAAGTTCATCCTCAGGTTCGTCAGAGCCGGGAACGACAAGATCAGCTACAGCAGAACCATCAACAGCTAGCGATGCACAATCTAATTCCACTTCCACTACCGCTTTGTCCTCGACGTCAAGATCAAGTTCGGGCACTTCTGCCCCGACTGAGGGCACCGGCTCGACCTTGACGGCTGGAAGTACGCCTAATCCTACCCAAAACACGACGCAAAATACGGCCACGGCGAATTCGGCGAGTACAAGTAGCGGACCTATCGGCTCCACTGGGACATCAGTTGCTAGATCATCTAGTACGACTCACATTGCAACGTCTGAGCAGACAGCCGCTAGCTCAAATACAGAGCCAGGCGCGTCGTCCTCAACCACGACAGAGTGGACTCCGACATCCGGACCGGGAAATTCAACAAGCTCTGGGACGACAGCCACAAGTGCCAGCACAGGCTCAAACGGCTGGACGACTAGTTCTGAGCCGTCGACCGCTTCATCATCAGGCCCTCAAAGAACAAAATGCACTGCGCTGTTTTATATCGATGCTTCTACGGCGGCCGTGGTGCGTTCGATATTTTTATGAAGTTAGGGTAGCTTTGTTGGGATACGGCTAATCAATGATATTGATTTTTCCAGGCTTTGAATGTGACGGAATCCGAGAAGAACTTTATCCTTAATATCGGCGAAACATTGTATCCAGATACCACGATAGAGCTACACGTGGCTCTTGCAGCCTATGGAGACGTAACTTTTGTTGATGGCAAGAACAAAAAGTGATTTCTAGGATGATTTTGATCAGAAACCGGACGTGGACACTACGGATCGGGACATAAAAGGATTAACTGTTGATCTGGCACAGTACAAATTCGAAGCTCCGAACGATGACAATGTTAAAAAGTAATCATTTTGACGTTAACTTACGTTTTTAGCGCAATTGCCTATTTGAACAAGATTAGTGAGAAGTTGGCAAACGTGGTCGTAGTCCTATTTACTGCGAGGTAAGGTGAAATTCTCAAGGCACAAGAAAGTGCGTTTAGCAATCAGGACATCATTGACGGTGCGACTGGCTCCAATTCACATGCCGCGTGGACGATAGGGTTGGCTTTGTCCGGTATTTTTCCGGGATTAGGACGATATAGATCAATATTTAGGACAAAACTTGACCGGAATTGCGGTCGAGAGTGCTGTTTTAACAATGAAAGATCAGACGGCTTCTATGCTGAAAACGATGTGTTTGAGTGGAATTACTACAACTGCAGCGTCAGGAACTGGCTCGGCCTAGTAGGTTAGCTGGCAATGAGATCAAAACAAAAACGGTTCAGGTCCGTTCTTAATGTTATTTACAAATACAAATTCTGTGTTTTCCTACAAGGTTGGTTGCTTAAGCTTTTAATTGTAGGCTGGAAAAACATTGGAAGCATATAAATCCCATCTTTTCAGGGAGAGGCTCCGCGCCGCTCAACCCAATGGTCTCCAAAAACAGGGTTATTGAATATGCGTCGATATAATAAATTTAAAAATATAATTGGAAGTCGAAATTCTACACAGAAAACTTATATAAATAAAAATATATGACAAGAAGGCAGGAAGCCTGTTATGTTTGGGACAATAACGGGAACAAAACCATGACTAGACATTAAGACACATTAAACATAAGAAATCAACATTTATCCTTTCGTCTATCGGATCAACGAAGGTGTTTTGTTTCTAAAATGCCTCCTAAACATTCCTCACATTAGACGTTTTCTCTTATCAGCCAGAGTCAGAATAGTTCGGGCCTCCTACAGCCGAATTCCGCCGATTTCCGATAACAATTACTCACTTGGCTACTGAAATTGCTTGAAAACTTGTCATCAACATCTTACCATGCTGTCCGTGCCTCTGAAGCTCTTAAAAATTCTACTATTTGCTGAAGTTCTTCTTGCGAGGGCAAATCAGCTAGACGACATCACCCAATGCAAAGTGCTCTTCGTTGCCGATCTCTCGGAAAGGGCACCGGTAGGTTAATTTTAAGCAAAATTCATTTCTCTATCTAGCCTTCACAAAATCCAACCATCGTTGGCTCGATGAACGCCCTATTCACCGGCGCCGACGCTAATCGGCTAAATATTTCGATTGCATTCTGGCGGTATAGTCGTGGCGACGAGGAATCTGACGGTCCTCTGCCGACCACATTCGCTTATGATCTCCAAAGTGTTGTGATAAATTTCGGGTTGCAAGGAGGTAATCTGGACATTGAATAGTAAGAACAGAGGTCCTCTTTGTGGAGTATGGGATTTAGCGCCACGAAAAAGTTATCAAGCTGGCAAGTGGAGGACGCTATAATCGTTCTCTTTACCGGAAGGTAAATTTTGAAATCTTTGTTTTGAGTGACATGGAGTCGATCTGATGTTTCAGTGATTGCATGTTTTAGTGATCCAAGTAAATTCGCCCCAGCTGGTCGTGATTATACCAGAAAAGTGTGGACCGTTGGGGTTGCTGGTAAGTTTTCGAGTTCAAAACCCCATTAAAGGGGTATTGGAAGCAGAAGCCCACGTTTTGAGGATATTTCTGGAACTAATGGGAGCTTGCGAGGCGCGCAGTTGCGATCGCACGTACTCTAAGTCGGGGTTTTGAACTTCAACGAATGTTGGAGGTTCAATCCCCCGGCAGTGCAAACTCAGCGTTTTTTCCCCTGAATCGTCAGCTTACATGATCCCTCTATAGTCAGTATTCAGCTGGTGTCGATACAAGCCCTTTTGCGGCTCGATCAATCATTTACATGCAACCATTGGCCATCTTTGATGCCGTTGTTGACCTTTGCCAAAGCGGAACAACGACGACAAGTTTCCCAGAAACAACTGCAACTGCTGGTAGTCAAATTCAGACCAGAAAATAACGAACGATTTCAGAGATATCCACTTCGACCTCGACATCTCCGCCAGAACGAACAAAATGCGTTGCGTTGTTTTACATTGATGCCTCCACAGCAACCATAGTACGTGCTGTTGGTAGCCTTGAAGTTTATTAGCGGGCGTAGTGCTTGAATTCCTGCACAATAGGGGGGGTTTCCAGGCTTCAAAAGTCATCAATGCTCAAAAAGACTTTATTGTGGATATCGGTGCAGAACTGTTTCCGGACGTCGGTTTATTAATTACATTGATGTTTGCAGGCTCTCAATGCTACCTCGCCAGAAAAAGCTTTTATCCTCAGTATTGGTGAAGCATTGTATCCAGATGGCTCGATCGAACTTATCGCGGCTCTTGCCGCCTATGGAGATGTAACTTTTGTTGATGACAAAAACGCTAAGTGTTTTCTAGGATGACTTTGACCAGAAACCGGACGTGGACACTACCGATGTAGACCTAGTAAATTTAACTGCTGACCTGGATCAGTATAGATTCGAAGCTCCAAACGATGACAATGTTAAAAAGTAATTTCTTCGCTTGCGTTCGCGTTCGTAATTTCTTTGCTGCTTCTTTTAGTGCAATCCGCTATCTCAATCAAATCGAAGCCAAGCTAAACAACATTGTCGTGGTCCTAATGACAGCAAGGTTAATTGTTAGTTGAAGCTCAACATAAACCCTGTTAGTAACCAAGATATCATCGACAGTGCGTCTGGCTCCAATCAACATGCCTCGTGGACGATAGGGCTGGCTTTATCCGGTATTTTTCAGGACAAAGAGAATCTAGATCAATATTTAGGACAAAACTTGACTGGAATTGCGGTGGAGAGCGCTGATTTGACAATGAAAGATCAGACGGCTTCTCTGCTGAAAACGATGTGCTTGAATGCAGCAACCCCGATTTCGGCATTAGGAATGGGCTCGACCTAATAGGTTGGCAGGCAATTAATTACGGCTTGTCATGCAAAATTAATAATAAAGCAAATCTATTCTGATCTGTTTTTGATGTGGCATTCAACCACAAAATATCCGCCACGCAACGGAATGGTCTTAAAAAACAGGACTCATGGAATATGCGCAAATAGACAATAAATTCTAATACCTTACAAAACTCATGCAAAAATTGCAAATAAATACCGATTTTAAAATACATAAAAAGCAACTCTAAAAAGCAGACGTTCCACGGCTATATCCCAGACGAGAAAAGCCGTTTTTTCCTATATTCCAACCCAAAGTTCCTCACATTAGATGTATTCCCTTATCAAGAAGCTGCCTAGGCCTAGCCACTCCCTACGCTCGTTAAAGGGGAAATTTTCTTGCTTCTCGATAACACTTGCACGCGGGGGCTTTTGAAAATCGTCAATTAGTTCTTCTCGCTTACTTGCGATGCGTTCTAAGGCATTCTTGCAAATACTACTATTTGCAATATTCGGCGTTAATGCCGAACGATTTGATGCGCTAATCCAATGCAAAGTGCTTTTTGTCGCAGATCTGTCCGACAATGCCCCGGCAAGCGTTTGTAGATAGAAAATGACACATTTACATATCTAGACATCCCAGATCCAAACGATTGTTGCAACAATGAACACCTTATTCCACAACTCGGCCCCGAATGGCGTTAATGCTTCGGTTGCTCATTGGCGTTATAGTCGTGGAGGGGATATTGACGGCCCGATTCCAACGAAATTCGTCTATTCTTTCCAGGATTCTGATTTGAATTTTGGGTCACCTGGCGGGTCGCTGGATATTGTCTAGTTGGTATACATCATAATTTTAAAATCATTTAATTTAGCGCAACGAGCGCTTTATCGAAATGGGTAATTCAAGATGCCGTAATTGTACTGTTTACGGGCAGGTATTTTTTTAGCCGGAGTTGGAACAAGTTAGGCTCTGGAGGTTCAGAACTGAGCTTCTCGAATCTTTTTCTTTGCCTCTATTTTTGGAGAGGATTTTAAACATAGCACGTGCATACTTCAATCGTAACACCAAGCTTTACCTTGAATCAATTTAGTGATCCCAGCAAATTCGCTGCAGCCGGCGAACATTATAACCGACGATGGTCAACGGTTGGTGTGACTGGTAAGTCGCAGATAGTTCTAGTACCTCGCAACCAGATCGTACGCTAAAGTCGTAGCTCTTTATGGCTTTTAGTGTCCTTAGCGAGTCGAATTAAATCCGTTTTTAGTTGGCGCCGATGCAAGTCCTTTTGCCGTCTTATCGATTCCATACATGCAACCGCTGGCAATTTTTCAAGCGGTTATTGAACTATGTCAGCAAAAATATCAATCAACGTATCCAAAAACAAGACAGTTTGCTGAGATCAATTTAGGACGTCATCTGCGCCGACAACAGAATTTGGTACTTATACTGTCACCCAATCGTCTTCTATTCTCACAACCGCCAGTGAGTTTTCGAACTGACATTGACTTTCCCAATTTGGTCAGCATCGACACCACCGACTGCGACATCTACAAGTCAATTGACGTCGTCTGAGCCAGACCCAGGTCAGAACTTCTCTGGCATAGCTTTTGAAGGGAAAACTTGATTTCGCCTATTTGCATCTCGCCTACTGCTATTTCGCCTCCTCTTATTTCGCCTACATCCCATTCCGCCTACATCTTTTTCGCCTACATCTTTTCCGCCTACCTCTTTTTGCCTACATTTATCTCGCCTACTCGTATTTCGCCTACCTTATTTCGCCTCCCTACTGAACGGCAGTGTGTCCCCCTGACAATTCCAAAGATCCTGTTTGCTTTTGCTCAAAAGGATTAAACTATCCATATTAGTGTACGACAGTTACATCGGTATAAAGCAGGCCAGACTATATATTGGATTCAGAAAAGCTAAAAAAACAGTCTGTTGTGTTCAGCATGGAAAATACCATATACTGGAGGTATACTAAAGCTTGTTGCGCATAAATGGTAATTGCAAAATGGCGAAATGAAGGTGGCGAAATAAGGCGTAGGCGAATAAGTGTGGCGAAATAGATGTGGGAAATAGGATGTAGACGAAATAAGATGTAGGCGAAATAAGATGTAGGCGGAATGGGATGTAGGCGAAATAAGAGGAGGCGAAATAGCGTGGCGAGTGCAAATGGCGGGTGTGTCCTTTTGAAGACCTGGGCAGCATCGACGCCAGCGAAGTCAAGTTCAACAAAGAGTCCGGGGACGTCTTTTCCACTAAAGCAATGCAAGGTTCTCTTCGTTGCGGATCTTTCGGACGCTGGCATTGCAAACCTGGTATCCAAGCTTCAAATTAGGTCCCATTAGCACTTTAAGCCCATGCAAAAACCCGTAATTGTTGCCTCCATGCAAAGGTTATTACAAACTGCCGCAACTAATCAGCTGGACATGTCGATCGCGTACTGGAGGTATAGTAGCGGGCCCGATGTCGATGGCCTAATACCAAACACCTTTGCCAAGGATCTATTTGATGTTGGCTACAACTTTGACAATATCGGAGGCGATCTCAATATTGTAAAGTAAGGGGTAGTGCATACAGAATATCTCCTGACATCGGTTTAGCGCTACTAATTCTCTAAATGCATGGCCGGTCGATGATGCTTTTATTGTCCTATTTACGGGCAGGTGGGTGGCTCCTAAAAACTATGATTTACTTCTTTAAGTTCCCAAAAGCAAGTCGATTTGGCCGGGACAACTTATTTGAAGAGAAACATGACTATAGGAGTCTCTTTCGCAGGTAAATTCCGTTCGAAAATCGCTATAATCGCCTAGATCAAGACGTGGACACGTCACCGTTCGCTTCCGTCTCTTTGCTTATGGACTCTACAATGTTGGTCGAAACCGTCATGCAGTTTTGCCAATCGAACTAGTTGCGTAACCAATAAATTTTAACATAAAAATGGTAGCCTTACATATAGCGTAAAAGAAACGGAAGAAACAATTGGAATATAGATAAGAGAACACACGGCAATCACATCATACGAACGAACGACAATCATATAAAACCACTTTCATGTTTTTCATTTTTTTAGATCATTTTCTTAACATCAACCACATGTGTGTTTCATACCACAGAAATTTAACCTAAGACACTGACCACGCAAAAACCACGAGCTGCTTACCGATTTTTATGGGGTTTATCAGCAGATTTAGTGCCAATTCGCCCCGTGTTATTGAGCCATTAACGCCATGAGGTTAGGGTAAGTCGGTAGCCACTGTTCCTCAACTGTGCTCTGAGACTGGATGTGGCATATAAAGGTTCCGAAAACTTAAAATGTCGCCGCTGATGAGTGGAGAATTTTCCATTTCTTTTTTTATGCCCAGCCGAATGTTCGTGTCATTTTCCATATGAAGCCTTAATCGTAGGGGTCAAAACACCTGAATTTTCAAACCGACGTTAATTAAGTATGATCTAAGAACAAGAAATTAAACATTTACGAACAATGGGAAGCGGTCAATTTCCTACTCCCTTTAAAACATGATTTTTATTATTTATTTGCTGAGCCTTACTTGTATTTTATTTTTTGAAAATATTTGTCTGTACTTTCCTTTCCAAAGAATCTGCCAAGAAGCTTTTTTGAGTCCATTTTTCTTGGTCGACACCACTTATCATATAAAAACTGCGAGGCGGTGCCGGGCTGTAAATTTGATGGCCGTTAATGTGCCCCTGCCGAATTTTTGGTGGTCAAATACCGCGCTGCCCACCGGCCACATTTTCCCGCCCTGTTGCTTTTTGATCTTATCATCAGGAATTTGTCTCTCCGGATTTGAACTTTAATTAACTATTTAAATTTAGCAGTTCCTCTTCCATTAGCAAAACCTGAAAGAACACTTAATAATACTAAACAAACTTCATGGCAACGTCGAGTTTCGGGCGAAGAAGATGGCTATTCATCTTGCTGTTTATAATTTCGGTTCTCGTGGTTGTGGCTGTAGCTGTAGTTGTGGTGGTGTTGTTGGTGGATCGTACGAAGGTATCTTCTGGTAAGTTCTTTATGGCTAAGAAGCATAGATAAGGATAAGCCTAACAGTAAAGTGTTTTTGGTCAGGATGGAAATTCGGCTCGGGGCCAAGCCTATCTTGTGCAGAATTTTTCGCTGATTCCGAATCCGATCTCCAATCTGCAGAATAGTTCTGATTCAAAATTTATGACGTTTTTAAGTCCATTTTAAGCAAAAATTGGCAAATTTTATGCTCGATTATTTTGATCTTCCTGATTGATTTTCCAAAAAGAATATTGCCATCTTATTCAGAATTTTTTTCTCTATCGAATAAGCTCTTTATCTCAAAAGTGTCGAAAATCGAAAAATTTGACGATGACGATATGGCCTTCAATTTTTGTATGGGACTTGGCGAAAAATTGCGTACTTTGCACACCTGTAAACTGCGGCCTAGTAATACCCATGTTGTAATGAAATATCACTTCGAATCAAAAAAAAATTCTCTATCAGATAGGCTATGCGCGATAAATTGGAATAGTAAAACAGAAAAGGACGGCATCATGGCCAATCACTTCATGGGTCCGAAAACCGCACTTAAATGCTTCATAACTTTTGAATCCGAGTTATTCTGCAGATTTGGAAGTCGGATTCGGAATCAGCAATAAATTTTGCACAAGATCGGCTCGGTCCCGAACCGAATTTCCATCCTGACCAAAAACACTTTACTGTTAGCGCAAGCCTAAGCCTAAGCCTAAGCACCACCTAAGTCCTACCTAAGACCAAGCCTTAACCTAAGCCTAAGTCGAAGTCTTAGCCTAAACCCAAGCCTAAGTCTAAGCCAAAGTATAAGCCTAAGCCTAAGCCTAAGCCTAAGCCTAAACCGAAGCCAAAGCCCAAGCCTAAGCCTAAGCCTAAACATAAGCTAAGGCTGGATCCAAGCTTCTGTCTAGACGTAAACCTAAGCCTAAGCCTAAGCCTAAACCTAAGCGTCAGCAATATTTAGAACACACGAAAGCGCTCGCCCCTCATGTAACGTTCTCCTTATACCTAATTGACAAGAACAAACAGCTTTTTTATGCTGAAGAAAATACGACGGATCCGTGCTATTATTTATCTGATGTGAGTCTTAGCGTTTTTTAAATTAAGCTGCTTAAATTTAAATATAGTCCGGCTCCAATATACATTCTAGACAAAAGAAATTGTCAAAAATGCTCTGATTGGATTGGATGATGCAACGCAGGTTCGATTTCTAACGTATGGCGAAGGACGGTACTCTGCTGATATTCGGAAACCTATGAGCAAGAGTGAAGCGCTGGAATTTTTGGAACATGATATAAATGGCCAGGTGGACAATGGGAAGGCAAATGAGCAGGCGTGAGTTTTTTTGCGTTTTAGAACGAATAAACCAAAATATGATAGCGTTATAAGCTTCCTTTCAGAGCCATTACTGCCTACGACAAGAGCGAAATGCCGAGCGAGCTTGTCTATTTCGTCCCTTGTAAGCAATTGTAGGTTCCATAAAACCAAGTAGAGTAGAATTTTAATTTAGTCAGATGCCAGACGAGAAAGGAGCTCCGTTTGACAACCCTTACCTCAGCAAGCTCATCCTCATCTCTGGGGACATGAAGAAGAAAGAGTTGAAGGACCGCTATAAAGTTAATGAAAGCAGCGAAACGTTTTTCATTGATGAGACTGTACCAAAGGATGATATCGCAAATGAGCTAACGAAAATCTTGCCTGTAGACGTGACCGCCACCACGCAGAGAGGGCTGCCGACCGTGAATGGCATGACAACCAGGATCCCGGAAGCGACAACAACAAGGACTGATAAGCCTGGATCGAGTACTGTAACTGTCGGTACGACAGAACAGGTACAGACAATACCTGTGGTGACAAGATCGACGAGTAGGCCGATAACAACAACGAATCCTGATACCTCCAGCGCTACCACAACGGAACCTAACGTCGTCACGACCATGTCCAAAACAACTACAACCAACACAATTGTAACAGCTGCAGCTACGTCATCTTCAAGCAGTTCATCAACGCCAACAGCCACCTCGAACCCCCCAGATATCGGCACCACCTCGTACGGCTCGTCGACAACGTTGGTATCAACCCCGGAAGCTTCTTCAACAAGTCGTCCTCCCAAGTTTTCTACAACTCCTTTCGTGAGCTCAAGTCCGACGGATACTACGAGGCTTCAGAGCACGACGGAAGAAGTGACTACCATCTGGTCGACCTTGCCGGCCGCGACCTCAACGAGCCAGGGCACTCTCGAAACCAGCTCGACTTCAAGCTCTAAAACGACCATAACTGTGGAATCAACTTCTGAAGCCAGCCCTTCGACAAGTAGCCCAAATCGAACCTCGCCAAAAGTGCATCCGTTGACGTCCGCGGTAGCTAGTACCACTCCCGAATCCACTTCCAAAAGCACTACGCCGGAGAAAAATTTCACGACACCGACCCTTTCTTCCGAGTTTTCCACGTCCTCAAGCACTAAGACAAGTACACCTACTGAAAGAAGCTCAACGACTACGACGGCTGCACCTCCGGTATCGACTGCAAATGCTGGCTCTGATACGACTTCCCACACGACTTCTGAGAGAACGACGGACGGTGTCTCTGTCTCAGCATCCACATCAAGCTCCATCTCGAGCAGCGCCAGCAGCCAGTCTACAGCAGCGCCAAGTCCTTCAACTTCTGAAGGTCCGGCGTCGAGCAGTTCATATTTCACATCGACAGCCTTCTGGACGACAACCACGCTACCTAGCCCGACGTCTCAATTTGCAAATTCTAGCGAAGCGACGACTATTCGAGGTTCAAGCACACCGTCTCCACACACAACTTTGACAAGCATTCCAGTGGCCACGACTACTTCCTTCTCTGGAAGTAGCACAGATGCCTCGACAAGGGCTGAACCCTCTGCAATGACTTCGGAAGCACCTAGCCCGGCTCTTTCGTCTACAAATACTTTGTCGACAACATCAAAGTCATCAGAAACGACATGGCGACTTGGTAGCACGTCTTCAAACGCACTTACGACTACGGTTCACTCTAGTCTATCAACAATCACGAGGATCGCTAGTACCGTATCAAGCAGTGAAGCTCCTAGCACGACCGGTATCGCCAGTGCACTGACAACGACTGGCAGTTACCCGCCAAGCACATCATTACCTTCGAGCCGTGCTACTAGAACATCGGAAACTTCGACGTCAACCATCTCTACGTCTGGTACGACTTCCCAAACATTAAATCTGACTACTGAATCTTTGGAGAGCACAACTACGCAAATATTGAGTTCCAGTGACGCCTCGTCAACGACTCTGGAACCGCCTACGAGCACTATCGCAATAAAGAGCAGCAGAAGCCCTTTGACTACTCTTCGCGATACAACGACGTCGACCCCTTCCTCTTCTTCTAGCTCAAGCTCTGTCTCGAGTCCTGCGACACTTTCGAGTCCAGCATCTATCCTAAGCAGTACCACAACCAAATCTACGACTTCGCGCCAGCAATATTCCACTACCAATATCGTCACGACCACCTCAAGCTCGAATTCTGCTTCTACAACTGCGTATCCAGAGTACACCACCGCCGCGAAAAACATGTCGGAAACCAGGTAACGAATATTGCATTTAGACAGCCTTAATGCAATCTTTTTCAGCCTCCCAAGTACTACTGCTTCGTCCGCCGCTTCGAGCACTACCTGGGCTACGGAATCCCAAACTACAGAACATGGGAGCAGCAACACAAGTGCCCTAACGACTGCGGGAAGTACCGCAGCCACATCAGAAGCTAGCAAATCGTCTACTGTCATGACTTCTGAAGTCACCACCAGCCTCTCAGAGCCCACTTCAGAACCGGCAACAGTCAGCCTCCCTTCCGCGTCGACCGATCGTACGAGCACCGGATCTGCAATGAGCAGTTCGCCGACTACCGCAGATGTTCGGTCAACAGAGACGTCGCTAGATACGTCAACGTCCAGTTCGATCAGCACAAGAACAAGCAGCACGACTATGACGGAAAGGAGTTCCTCTACTGCAATACGAGGTAGAACGCGTTCTAGCCTTAGCGGCATAATACGATTTCAGGTTCCACTGCCGAGACGACCGGCCCTAGCTCTTCAGCTTCGTCGTCACCCATTCGTACGACTTCAGAAGTTACCTTTACGGCATCCGACGGAACCACGTCTTCCGCGACTGGCTATACCTCTAATCCATCGCAAGCCACTTCACAGAGCTTTTCATCGACTTCGGAAGCTGACAGCACTAGCATGCTCTCTAGCACAGAAGTTCCGTTGACAACTACAAATGCTAGTGAAGCTTCTACGGGTTTGTTCAAGAATATGATAGCATGACCAAACGCAATTTTTCAGCTACAACGGAAGTCACCATCACATTCAGCTCTACTACTACTGAACCCGGGAGCCCGACACGTAGCACGAGCTACCCTAGCGTTGCATTGAGCTCCAGTGCTAAAAGCCAAAGTTCTTCGATCACAACGTCCGAGTCTTCAACTACAGCCTCTACCTCCACCACAACCCAGAATACTGGATCCACAATTAGCCACACAACTCCTATCACGTTTCCCGAGTGCAAAGCCCTTTTTGTTGCAGATCTTACAGATGTTGGCAGCGCAAACATGGTTGGTAAATTAACTTGAGTTGAACTCTCCACTTTAGATCCTTCAAAAAACCACACTACTCGCTGCTATGACAAATCTATTCGATCAAGCAGCTGAAAATCAGCTAGACATGTCGATCACATTCTGGAGGTATAGCAGTGGTGTTGAAGAAGATGGGCCTGTGCCAACAACTTTCGCGAAGGATATGAAAGATGTTGGAGCAGATTTTACCGGAGCAGGTGGTCATCTAGATATTAGAAAGTAAGACAATACCTTGATACTTATTAAGCACAATTTAGCGCTACAAATTTACTGAATCAATGGCAAGTTGACGATGCATATATCGTGTTGTTTACAGGAAGGTTTGATTACTATTCTCAAATCTATATATTGTTATTATTTATAGGAAGGTTTTGTTTTAATAAGTATATAAATAAAAAACAATAATTAGTTCACGATTTTAGCCCCCAATCCCGAATTAATATTGCTGGTAATACCTACAAGCGTAAACTCTATACCATCGGAGTGGCCCCGGATGGTAAGCTTAACCAATTACGCGTTTTAAATGAATTTTCTAGGGCTCAACACTGCCCCGTTTGCTGTAATTCCCTTGAATATGGATTCGGACCAGATCTCCAACGCTTTGATGGCGCTTTGTCATGATCCACCTACCAATCCGCCTACCACTAAAGTTCCGACGACGAGTGCCGAGACGTGCGAAACTGAGCAACAGACTACAACTACAGGGCCTTGGAGCACGAGCTTGGCTTCGACTGTAGTCACCAGTTTTACTTCGGACTCGGCTGTAACTTCCTCCTCTTCCGGAAGCACAACTACGAGCTTCTCGCCAAGTTCGCGTGGTTCCACTATTGGGTCTTCCACTTCGTGGGCAAGTAAAACTTCGAGCCCGTTGTCTTCTACACAAGCACGTTCGACTTCAATGAGCAGCACCACTGATGGGAGAATGACGTCATCAAGTAACCCGGACGTGAAAACGGTTCCGTCCACGAATTCAGCGAGTACGCCGTCAACCTCGAAAATTACGTCCGCGGAGAGCAGTACAAGTCCGGAAACATCGACTGTGCCAAGTTCAACCAGCCCTGAAGAAGCTTCCTCGAGTAGGACATCTGAAAGCGGCACCTTCGAGACGACGACTTCGAGCGTTGCAGTATCCACGTCCACAAGCCCAAGCGCTACTACAGAATCTTCGATTACTACGCCGGCGTCTTCGGCAAGCTCAAGCTCTCAGACAAGCGACTTCACCAGGCCCGAAGCCTCATCTACAGGCACTTCTTTTTCCAGTACTACTGATACTTCGACTACCACCACCACTTCTGCTACTACCACAACTTCTACCAGCAGTACTCCTACATCTCGCCTTACATCTACCATCAGACCAACTATTCCAATTCCATTGACACCCTGTAAAGCCCTATTCGTCGCTGATTTATCTGATGAAGGCGTTGAAAATCTGGTGCCATACAATTCATAAAAAAATATCTATTTTTTAGATTGGACAAGATACCATAATGCAGGCTACTATGACGAATCTCTTCATTCAAGCTCCAGGAAACTATTTGGACATGCAAATTGCTTTCTGGAGGTATAGCAGCGGCCCTGAGGCCGATGGGCCTGTCCCAACTACCTTTGCGAGAAATTTGTCTTCTGTTGGGTGTAACTATGATGACGCCAGGGGAGAATTGAGTATTATTGAGTAAGCGACTTTATTTTTCGTAAAAAATGTCGATACCATTTAGTTCCGTTGAGGCCCTAACTGCCTGGCAAGAATTGGATACCTTTATTGTGCTTTTTACTGGAAGGTCTGACTAGCTAGATAAGCTTTTTATAGCGCTTTTAGCACGCAATCTGAGGTGGATTTGGCAGGTGAAAAGTACTTTCGAAGACTGGATACAATTGGAGTCTCGTCTGAAGGTAAATTAAACAGCCTATAGATTCAGAAAACTTTTATTTTCAGACCAGCCACTTGATACCTCGCCCTTTGCTGTGGTATCGCTAAATCTGGATTCCACGGAGATTGCCGGCGCTGTCATAGATTTTTGTCGCCATCAGCCAAGTGTGTCCACGTCGGGGGCGGCTAGCTCCAGTCCTACCCAACCAGGGACCACGATCTCAAGCTCTCCTACGATGCCTTCTTCTACTTTGACGTCAAGTGACTCTATCTCGACGACAGAATCTACATCGCCGCTCCTGAGCACGACCATGACTTCAGCCACATCTTCGTCTAGAGTCTCGATTTTGAGCAGTAGTGTTGGAAGCACGGGATCCACTACGTCTGCCGAGACAATTTCCATGTCAGTGTCGGGCAGCACCACGCCACCCACAGAATCGACGGACACCACCGATAACACGAGCCTCGCCACGAGATCCACGTCGTCAGACTCAGAGTCAACTCCCAGCTTTTCAACCAGTGAATCCGGTACGGCGACCAAAACCACAACGCCAACGTCCCCCTCGGAGTCGACTAGCAGCTTCACGACAACAGAATCTACGATGACCTCCCAGCACACGACTCCGACTGCAATTCCGATATCCACCGCCACGTCGGAGGAGAGCGGCAGCAGCGTGTCAACTACCGAGAAGACCGGGGCCCCCAAGAACTCGACGCCGACCTCGGGGACGTCATCGACTTCGGTGACGCCGTCGAGCATGAGCTCGAAGCCCACGGCCTCTTCAACTTGGTCTGCTCCGACTTCAGAGCCTACGCAGGCTCTCTTGTCAACTTCATCAACTTCAGAACCTTCGAGCAGCGCCGAAACAACGGCTTCAACTTTGCCAGCACCAGAGTGCAATGTGTTATTTGTGGCTGACCTCTCGGATGCAAGCGAAACATGGCTGGTTAGGTGATAATTTTTATGCGAAAAGACAGTTCAGAACGAAGATGGGCTCGAAGAGACGGTCATAAGGGAGTGCGTTCGGGATTTGTTCTTGGAAGCTAGCAAGCGTCATGGACGTATAGCAATAGCGTTCTGGAGATATAGCAGTGGAGGAGTGGATCCGACACAACCACCGATAACTTTTGCTGCAAATGCATCCGGCGTTGAATTCGATTTCGAGGACCAAGGCGGTGATTTGAGCGTTATCAAGTAAGTGTTACAGCATTAAAAATATCCTTTATTCAGCGCGACAACGGCACTGAATACTTGGCCGGTGCGTAACGCGTTTATTGTGCTTTTCACTGGCAGGTTTGAGAATGCTTGCGCTTCGTCCTAAAAATTGTAGTACACAAGATGAGGTGGATTTGGCTGGTCAAGAATACCTTATGAGAAACATAACAATAGCTGTTTCACGAGATCGTGGGTTTATTTTACTGCCTTCAATATATTTATCTTAATTTAGAGAAACCCGCCACCTACCCCATTGGATTCTTTTCGGTGTTGATAGAGAGTCCCGACCGGATTGTTCCCTTTGTCCTAGATGCTTGTGGGATGCCGACAATCACTACTTCCTCTACGACCACCACCTCTAGTGCTAGCGGAGCCACGAATGAACCTACCAATAATGATTCCGCAAGTCTAAGCACTTCCGCAACTTCTACTTACGAGAGAACGGAAGAGACGAGCGCCAGTGAAACATGGACCGATAACAGCAGCACCAGCAGCAGGATATCTGCAACCACTACAATTTTCGAAAGCTCGACTCCGGAAACCTACTCTACTTCCGAGTTAAGTCCAAGGCCGACGGAAATTACTAACCCAGAAAGTACGGCTTCGGAATCTTCGGCAAGTACGATGAGCACTACTTCCGAAGCCTCAACACTAAGGTATACCGGGACTGCCAGCAGCACCAGTGCCGCTTCAAGCTCAATCTCGACGGATGGTCGCACAACAACCAGCTCCACGGAAACAACCGCTTCGTCCGGATCGACGATATCAGTGACGGATGCCACGAATTCGATGACAACGAGCCAAACCAGCAGCAGTTCGGAATCTACAACTTCAGGCACACCGCCATCGACGTGGTCCCAAGAAACAGCTAGTTCTACAGAGCCACCCAGTACCAGCACAACCGAAGCATCCTCTACTAAGAAACCAATCTCAACGACTAGTTCCGGGTGGACTGAATGCAAGCTCTTATTCGTGGCGGATCTGACGCATGCCGGCGAGCCTAAAATGGTTAAGTGCCCTCCCAATGCTATAGGTATAGTGCTTCATTTCAGAATTTGAACACATGGCTGGTTTCTATCCAGCAAATCTACGAAAGGGGTCGACAAAGGCAGCTGGATATATGGTTTGGGTTCTGGAGATATAGCAGCGGACCAACGGCGGACGGGCCTATACCAACTACGATTAATAATGAAACGCAGTTCGGCGGCTTTGACTGGACTAAGCCGGGTGGTGAACTGAACGTTGGAAAGTGAGTCAGCAAAAGGCGATTGTTAACCATCGTTTAGTGCTACTAGTTCATTAAATGAGTGGGCAGTTACGGATGCATTTATTGTGTTGTTTACAGCCAGGTTTACTTTGATTGATCCTTTTAGTAAACTTATTTAGTTCCCAGGATGAGGTGTATGCGGCCGGCCGTACCTATTCGCGGAGAGACAATACCGTAGCAGTAAACCTTACAGGTGAACCCTTTCGCATTCCGGGAGAGCTGTTTATGTAGACAGCTACCTGGATACCTGGACGATAGGCGCCGGTTGGGCGAAGATAAACACCCAGTCAATCATAGATGGGGTGTTGAGTATTTGCGAACGCGGGCTGATGAGCCCCACAACTACTCAACATCCGGATTCCACCAGCTCAGCCACGCGATCAAGCGGGGGATACTCAGCGTCTCCGAGTCCGACCTCCATACGGATTTCTGAAACTACAAGTTCAACTGTGAGCTCAAGCACCACCATGACGTCCGCCATAACCAAAGACACGTATGGCACGACGGTCGCTTCCGACCACTCCGAGCATACAACGGAAAGCGCTATCACGCTGACTAGCTCCGAAACTACGACAGTTACCGAAACGCCGTCATCTACAAGCACACAAGGTTCCAGTACGCCCAACGCGCCTACGATGGAACCTATAAACACGAGTCCGAGCCCGGAAACCATTACTACAACAAGTTATGAAACACTTGCGAGCTCTTCTCCTAATCCGGACCTAACCTCGACCACAACATCAGCAGAAGATTCGACAACTATGCCAGAGAGGCCACCGTGTTATGTGCTCTTCTACATTGATGCTTCATTGGAGGCTGAGGTAAGTTAGCGGCTTACTACGCAGTTTATTAATGTTTCAAAGCCCTAAAAATTTTTTCTATAAATTCGTTTCAGGCCCTTGATGTTTCAATGAAAGAAGAAGAAAAAGCGTTCGTTTTGGAAGTCAGTGAAAGCTTGTACTCACACCCGCAGTTCTCCCTCCAGGTTGCCCTGGCAGCATATGGAGACGTAGTTCATTTTCCTAAAATCGAACCACTTATTTTTAGGATAACTATGGGACGCCAGATCTCAACACGACATATGATCGCCGCACGCAGTTATCGTCTGCGCTCGATGCGTGGTCGCTACTAGATCCAAACTCCGAAGACATTAAAAAGTATCAAAGGGTTTGTTAAGCGGGTAGCACAAGGCCAAGGGCTTATTTTCCTTTTGTCGAAACTATTTGTCGAAATCCATTTTGTCACGATTTCAATTTCTTTAATTTATCTGAAATTTTAAAATTCTTAAATTCTTAGGTCGAATTTAAATTTGCCGGACTTCCGAAGTCTTTTTCTCATCAATTATAATCAAAATTGACATTCACCTGACGCAATTTAAAATTGATCGTTCTTCCTCAAAACAACTTTCGACACAATGATGGCAAATCTGTGCCAATTAGTAGCCCCGTAAGGCTCCTAGTCGAGGCGGAGCCATTGCAGCAAACCTTTCGGTTCTTTGCGCCGAGCCGTCTTGGTTGGGCTCGTAGCGAAACGTTGACAAATTTTTAACAATCTTAGGCACTTTATTGCAACATCATCACCGCTAACTTTAATAACGCTTTTTAGCGCAACTACTGGTCTCAAGGTAATCGGAACCTGGGAACACTATTTTTACGTGGTTTTGATGTCCGCTAGGTAAATGAGAAAACGACTTCACGAATAATCAATTTAGCCCGGAAAGCGTCATTAAAACAGCCGACAATTCTGCATATTATCCATGGACAATTGGGGTCGCTTTAGCAGGTCAGCCTGGGCTCTTCAAACGGAGAAAAACGCGATTTAGAGCAAAACATGGGATGGGTCGCTTTCTATCGCGCTAATTTGACGATGAAAGCGACAACCGAGTATATTTTGCGAGAAATGTGTCTTGCAGGACCTGACCATACTGGGCCGGTTACGCAGAACTTCGAGGTGAGATACTAATGGCCCGAGCAAAAACACGCAGGATATAGGTAGCTGATGCCGCTGCCAACAACCAGTGACAACGGGCCCCTGCGTAGTTTAAAATCCGCTCCTCCCCCTTCCAAGTTGGCCTGCATAATCTGGACCTGTATCATAATAATAATGATAATAATAAATAGCATACTTGGATAGACCGTAGATTAAAATACACGAGTTCAGGAATGGTGATGCTTCCAGAGATGACTTCTCTTCTGCAAAATGAATCTTTGCAATGGCCCAAGCCTTTTGTAAGCCAAAACCCAAGTCGAAGCTTAAGCCTAAGCCTAACCCCGAGCCTAAGCTCAGCATTAAGCCTGTGTCGCAACCTAAGCCTCAACCCAAGCCCACGCCTAAACCCGTGTTTTCCGATTTTCCTGCCGAAAACCGCGTGCTTTTTCCGTTCCTACGTCGTCCCAAGTTAAGTTAAATGCCTTATCGCCCAGCTTACGAGCGGAAGAGTCATTACCTCCGCCCGTTAAAGGGAGATTTTATCGTTTTTTTGATAACACTTGCACTCGGCGGTAACTAAATAAGGCCGGCCAATAAGTTCTTTCCCCTCACCTGTTCTGCCGAACTCTGGGGATGCTGTACCCCGAAAGATTCGTACCGCTGCTGCTATTGGCAGTTCTCAGCGCTAATGCTAAACAGTTCGATGATCTGATGCAATGCAAAGTCCTCTTCGTCGCCGATCTTTCCGACAGAGCGCCGGTAGGTTTTTTTAAGCGGATCTAAACTTACTAGTGTGTTTCAGAAGTATCCCATTAGGGGACCGTTTTCAGGATGTCTATAATACGTCCTATAGTGCGTAATGGTCCCGAGATGGCCGCATACATATAAAATTTTCAAAAATTAGCTCTTTTCGATGTGAAAATCCAGTTTTTCTTGAAAAATCGGGAACTGCCCTTGTTAGGAAACGCTTAATGCGCCGGAAGTGCCGGTAGCGAGATAATCGAGAGAATCAGCGTTTTTCATTTTTATCATTGCAATTCGGGCCATTATGCAGAGTGAAGAATTCATAAGCGCGGAGGGGCCAGGGTTGCAAATCCGCGCAACGGTTTTGCAACCCAGACGGGTTATTAATTTATATTTAGGCTTCCGAGGTCCCGACGATTGTTTCTACCATAAATACCCTAATCCACACTTCGTCAGCGAGCGGCGTTAATGCCTCGTTTGCTCATTGGCGCTATAGTCGTGGAGGCGATATCGATGGCCCAATTCCGACCAAATACGTCTACTCGTTCCAGGATTCTGATTTGAATTTTGGGTCGCCTGGCGGCTCACTGGATATCATATAGTTAGTAATCAGCAGGTTTCTTATTCAGCCATTTAGTGCAACAAATGCTTTGTCATACTCGGTACCGTATGATGTCGTGATTGTACTCTTCACGGGCAGGTATGTGTTCAGGGAAAGCCAGGATAATTCCGTTCGTCAGTTCCCCTTTGAAAAACCAAAAACATGAAAAAAATAACCGAAAGAAAGATAAACACTCGATTTAGTGACCCGAGCAAATTCGCAGCCGCCGGGCAAAATTACGTAAAAAAGTGGTCGACTGTTGGTGTGACGGGTACGTTTATGAAAACCCAAAAGCGTATTCTGTCTTTCTCTCTCTCTCTCTCTCTCGCTCTCTCTCTCTCCCACTTTCCCGGCGATCTCTTGCACACTCTCGGGTTCCTACCTTCCCTCAATTACCGCTCCCTTTCTCTCTCTCCCTTGGAGTATTGCTCTCTCTCGATGTCTCTCTCACTCACTCTTTTGAACTCTCAATCGCTCGATGAAGCCTACCTATTTGCGAAGCGTTCGCCTGACCATAACGACCCACTGATTGCAATTAAATCAGTTTTTAGTTGGCGCCGACGCAAGTCCCTTTGCCGCCTTATCAATTCCTTACCTGCAACCGCTAGCTATTTTTCAAGCGGCCATTCAACTCTGTGAAGTTCAGCCGACGCCAGGGTAACAACAAATAGAAAATTTTAATTTTTACTTAGGACCATTGAACCGAGCACATGGGCGCCGACAATGCCGTGAGTTTCTACCAAAAAATGTGTGGCAACATTGGTCCCAATGCTCGATTGTTACTTAATTTTTTCTTAGGACGATGATGGCGGAATCTACTACCACCGAAGGATACACCGAGGCCACCGGGTGAATTTCTTATGTCAAAACTCATGCGCGCTGTCAAAGCGAGTTAACTTTTGATATCAATAAAATTTTAAATTATACTAAAACTGTCATTTCAAATGGTTTAGAAGCCCTCCATCCGCCGCCAGCACCGAGGAATGGTCGACAAACACCTGGGCGGTGTCGACGAGCGAGCCCCACACACCTTTCTGATTTATGCAAACTACCGAGCACGTTCGACGTCATCTATTCATATAGATTTTTCGCCCCGGAGAGCATCAGATACGGTCAATGAATTCAACCCTAACCTAAAATTCTTGTATTTTCCAGCAATAAACAAGTCAATTCCGCAACAATACGAATCTTACTCTATATGTCAAAAAAATACTGTCTGTGCGTGTGGATTTGCATGCACACTTACCTGAATATATTTTTTGCAAAATTTCGTTTTTCACCATCAAAATTGATATTTTATGAAAATAGCGCTCAACTTTGTTGGTAGCAATAAATTAGCATACACTGGAAGTGGGAAGCTTAAAAAAATCGGGAAAGCGCATTTTTGTATTTTTCATCCTTGTTCTGGAAGCACGCTGCGCAGACAAAACTTTCATTGGTTCTTTGATGGGCTTAAAAGCCGCGAAGCGGTTTTTCAGAATAAATTCCCATACTAGAAACATGCGGTTGTATTTCGGGACAAGGACAGGCTCCTCGCTTCGGCTTATCTGCGTAGATTAGCACCGCTGCGAGGGCGAGCCGCCCCCGAATCCTCGCTGCCGTAAATCAAGGCGACACCAGTAAATTTTGACCTTTGTTTTTGCGCCCCAGTGTGGCCATCGTTAATTTTTGTAAAATTTAGCAAGATTTATCGTAATCTGATCTTAAAATGTGTCCCAAAAAAGCTCGTAAGAAAGCACAAAGTTGCAAACCGGATGTCGCAAAAATCAGTGTTGTTCACGGCTTTGCGGTCTCTAATAAGGAGGATAAAAATGTCTGAATTAAAGAAGCGCTACCTTTCTAACCCGATAGATACAAAAATCGGCTAATACTAAACTTTACCTCCCCCAACCGTAGGTTCCGAAATATTTTTCGCCATAACTTCTATCTTACTTAATTTTGACTTGCAGTTAAAACTTCTAGTATGTGGTTTTGATGCGCTATCGAATCGCGAAGCGAAAACCTCGACAAAATAATGGGAATGTCGAAAAATTTTGGGACCTCCGGGGCTGGGGGAAAGTAAAGTCGAGCCCTAAATCGTAAAAATCGGAAATGTTACGATACTTATAGAGCTAGGGACCTTAAAGGGCTCGAGAAAGATGCATTTTGTGAAAAAGCAAAGAATTTTGCAGCGGGCGGGAGCTGAACCAGCGATGGTTCACACTAGATCCCAGCGTGCTAACCAGTACACCATCGCGCCAACGGGCCGGCGCGGCGAAAAGCCCTCAAATACCCTAGCGTGTTTACACCGGTCGTTTCCGGCTTTCTTCCTTTGACCTGCGCCGTAATTGCACTCTGCATAAAAATTGCGAATTCCGAATACGAATTCCGTAGATAGTAGCGTCCCGTCGGTCCGTCACCCCGACGGACGCCTGGCCATCTTTCTCCAGCCCTTTAAGGCCGTACTTTTTGGCACCTTTTTATTGAAAGAAATACTGTACAGGGTGGGCAAAAAAAAAAGTACAGAGTTTGGGTCGAAATAACTCGCGAACGGTAGAGAATCGAAGGTACGTTACCATGCCAGAATGCTTAAATATGCTGGGCATGAAGATTTAACACAACTTGATTTTTTCGATTTTTGGGTACGCAACTGTACTATTGACGCTGGTTACGACCGAAAATTGTGCGTTCTTGAATGGGTGGTGAGAAAATTCTGATTTTTGGCTTATAAATAGTATAAATTTGTAGAAATGTAATGGCAAAATCTTAGAATTTATCGAGGTCAATTTCATTTTTTAAAAGCAAAACAATTTTCGCGATTTTGCGTTATTTTTGTTCTTTGAGTCATAACTCGCTTATAACTCGCTGCCTATGGCTGATATTAATCTCGGATTCCACACCAGATTCCACCACAATCTATGGTATTTTTGTATTGCTTGCTAAAACGTGCCCCAGTGGGGTACTGTAGGTTTCGTTTTTCCCGCTTTTCTCGGGACCCCTGGCTTCGATCCGGCTGAAATTTTCTGGGTTGTTAGGCAATAAGTAGGGGCACCTTACTGCCAAATACGAGGACGTACTATCCACAAACTTTCATGAAAAAGACTAAAAACTGATTTTTTAATTCTGCGGCAGAATCTTGTAAATTTTTTGGTCGTTTGTACCAAAAACTCCTACTATTGCTTTTACCGAAAGATCGAAGCGATTCCATGGCAAAAACACCACGAAAATCGCAAATTTCGGTTTTCTACAGTAACCCCCGTGGAGCGCGTTTTAGCATGCCATCACAAAATTCCATAAATTGACGATTTTTCTATTCGAGGACCTTCTAGAGGTGATTGTAAGATAGCCTGTCAAAAATTATTGAGTTTTGGTGGTAAATAACAAAGTTACGAGGCAAAGTACAAAACAAGGCCAGAGCGCCGATTTTTGGTCCGAGTAGCCGGGTCAATTTTCGAATTTTTAAAAATAAAAAAACCACCTGGATCCTATGGATACGATTAAAGATTTGATGTTTTTATTGACGCTTGTCAAATTCCGGAGCAATCTGATTGAAAATTATGGTGACTTTCAGCCAAAAATGGAAAATCACCCTGTTCTATAACCCAAGTTTAAAATTCTTCGTAAAATTTTTTCGACGCTAAATTGTTTTAATCTTTGCATAGTTTTATTCAACTGATAGCACAGACTTATTGCTGAAAATATCCCTACGACTCCACCTTCCAAAATTTTTTGACGCAACCTCCACTTCGGTTTATTTCGGGTTTTGACGAATTTTCCTGGCGCCAACCGCTGGTTAAAAAAATTCATGAATAAGGCTTTAGGATGCGCTATTCAACAGGTATCAGATAAAAATAAACAATAATTTTCACAGCGCGACTAAATTTTATAAAATGGTGACAAGATTCGGAAAAAAGCACGAACCAACCGTTTTGGAAGCCCTAAAAGACGCCCTTCCAAAGAGGTACGGTAGATCGAAATTTTGTACATGATAGATAAACCCCAGTACTACATAGCTAAGCAAAGAAAATAGCTGAGTCCCCTTTGGCAATTTAGAAATATTTTTCCAAAGTTCGATTTCGAGACCTCGAAAAATCCATGAGCAGGGGGTCGTTGAAAAACTCGAAAATTCATCGATCTCAAAATTTTTTTTAAGATTTTTATGCGATTGTAACGGGCTCGTAGATATTCCACAACAACTGATTTTGAGGTTTTCGCCATAGGTTTTTTAATAATAAAAATTTACGAAATTTCTCCATGCAAAATTTCATTCCTCTCCAACTTTTAACCAGACCCTCAAAAATTCTTAAATTTTTTAGGTACATATCTGCTGCTTATATTAACTTACGTAATAAAAATTAGATGCCAGCCACCACAGGAAACTGAGAAAAATACAAATGAAGTTTCCCCGAACGCACAGTTTTCGGGTGTCATTTGTATTGATACGTCGCCGAAAATCGAAAAAATCAAGTTGTGTTAAATCTTCATGCCCAGCATATTTAAGCATTCTGGCATGGTAACGTACCTTCGATTCTCTACCGTTCGCGAGTTATTTCGACCCAAACTCTGTACTTTTTTTTTTGCCCACCCTGTATCTGGTAGTAGATGTCATCTTTGGACACGACGCGCCGAAAATCATGGCTGATGCCCATGTTTTTCATCGCCACTTTGGTGGTGGCTGTCGTGATTTGCGTGTCGATTGTTGTGGTGGTCGTCCGGGAGGATAGAATGGGTATCGTTGATCCAGAAATCGATACTAAAATATGCTAATTAGCGCCCATGACGCCGCCAACCACTGCTCCGACTTATCCAACGCCGCCCACTAGTGGATACAACGTTACTTTTTCGATGTATCTGATCGAAAGTATGATGACGATGGATATGAGCAGGTGTTATTATTTGAATCAGGTAATTCACTTAAAATCATAATACATCCGGGAACTTTGAATAATATAATTTGAATAAATCGCGAATTCCAAACGTTGCTAAATTCACTTTCGCGAATTTCATTGAATTTCCACGAAAAATTCGAAATTCTGAAAATTTGTCACTTCTTTGACCCACTCCTAGAAAATCAAAATTTACTATAATTACTACTTTTAATTAAATTTTTGGCCTGTCTTGTTAACTCTTATTAACCGGCTACCCTTTTAGACCAAACAAATTGTCTACGAAACCTTAAAAGGTCTGGACGACTCGGTCGGAGTCACATTTTTAACGTATGGAAAAACGGGAGAATCGGCCTCGATGACCGATATGATGTCCCGAGCTCAAGCTATGGATGCCGTGATGAAAATACAAATGCACGGGATGATTATGGTAGCCAACGAGACTGCGTGAGTTGCATTGTGTTAAAAAATTTGGTACTCATCGATACTTATCTCTATTTTCAGTGCCATGACAGTCCTCGCACGCTCGAAAATCAGTAGTGAATTGGTCCATTTTGTGCCGTGTGCAGATATGTAAGTTGGAAGTTTTCAATTTTTGTGTTGGCTTATAAAAAATCAATTTTTTTCCGGTTCTGGTCGGTTAAGGGGGGATTTTTGGCAATAGCTTCCTTTCTCTTAAGTTTCATGATTTTGAGCTGTATATCAAATTCTTCGTATATTTATTTGATGTTCTGTCGAATGGCGTTACAAAACGTGGAAAACTATCGAAAATCCAAAAAAATAGCTTACCAACTCCATTTTCAGGGTTACTTGTGCTTTTGAACTTTCTTAAATTATTATATTTTGGTTTGAAATTAAAATTGTTAATGCCTGTTTGGATGCTCTAACGGGTCGCGATGTAATAGTCCCCAAAAAATAGTGAAATACGTAAAAATCGACGACATTAAACCCCCGACCCCCATTAAACTCCCCCCGCTAACGGACCAGAACTTTTTTTTGCTTTCAGGAAACTATCGCAATCCGAAGCCCGTCTCTTCGATCTAGTACCCAAGGAAAAGCTGTTCTTGGTTTCGGCCGACATGACTTCAAACGATATCAAAGATTATTACCAACTCAAAGAAAATGCGACCATCGTCGACCAATCTGTGCCTCAAGCCGACGTCTCTAAACATCTGGACAATGACTTGCCAGTTGCTACTGTCACTACACCAATAATCCCTACTACCACCACTAAAATGATAACGCCCACATCGACCTCAACTACTCCAGCGCCTCCTAAAGCTCTCTATAACGTTACATTTTCAATGTACCTTATCGAAAGTATGATGGCGATGGATATGGGGAGGTGTTATTACTTGAATCAGGTACTGTATACTATCGAAAATGATTTGAATTTTCAGACCAAACAAATTGTTTACGATACCTTAAAAGGGCTAGACGATGGCGTTGGCGTAACGTTTTTAACGTATGGAAAAACGGCTGCTTCTGCGTCCATCACTACCGTCATGTCCCGAATTCAAGCGATGGATGCTGTCATGAAGATACAAATGCCGGGGATGATTATGATGGCGAATGAGACTGCGTGAGTAGTACAGCTTTGGAATACCACGGCTGTGGTGCGCACAATTTGTATTTTAGGGCCATATCACTACTGGCTTCCAAAAAAATGTCGACAGAGTTGGTCCACTTCGTCCCGTGTGCTGATATGTAAGTTAAGATATTATAGATATCGAAAAAACAAATTCAGGAAGGGAAAACCCGACCCACATGGATTGTTCGATACTGTGTCACTACAAAAACTTCTACTGGTCTCTGCTGATATGAATAATGATGATATAATTGCATATTACCAATTGAAACAAAACGAGACGATTCTGGATCAAAGTGTTGCTCAAGCGGACCTGGCGAAGTTGTTAGATCAGAATTTGCCACCGGCTGTATCTACAACTACAACTATGGGCATGCAAACGACGACCTCAGGAACTACCTCATCGACGAAGAAAACGAAAAGCACGGCCGGGACTGGATCGACTGCGACAAGTACTGGTAGGTACCATAGCTTTCAAATTCGACGTCATGGTATCGTAAAGACTTAAGAAAGAAGAAAAAATAGTATCATTCCAGGTACCTCAAGTCTCGCGACAACTTCCAAAACTAAGGCCACGAAAACTACGACAAGCCCGAATACGCCAGAACCTACGTCGAATCTACCACGTTGTCGCACCCTGTTCATCCTGGATGGTAGCAACAAGGCTGCGGTAAGCTCTTACTACGCAACTTCAGTGAGTTGGTCTTATACACGTTCGAACATCTGCATCGCGCTCTTCACTTCAGTCCTCGGACGTCAATAAATGCATGCGTAGTACGGCCCAAGTCTGCGTTTAAGGACCGCGATTCCTTTTCTTTTTAGAACGACTTCAACCTCCTCAAAGCCACCTTCATCAGCGCCGCCTCGGTGGCGTATAACTCGACCGAGTTTCAATTTGCCGCTAACGCTTGGGTTTACCAAGACCCACTTGTGGACCTGAAACTACCGGAGAGCTTTATCTACAACGATGCATCTTTTACAACGTTGATTAATAGCTATACATTTATGGGAGGTCCAGACTCCGTCATACAGTAAGGTTAATCTTTATATTTCTTGAATTTTCAGAGCAGTCAAAGCCTTGAATGATTGGGTGCTGCAGGACGCTGTTATTGTGCTTTATACAAACAGGTGCCTTGGGTGAAGTTATTGAATTTAACGTTAATTTAGTGACCAAAACGCCATCAACGAGGCCGGGAAGCTGTATGACAGACAGTCGCGTACGGTGGTGCTGGAGGGAACGAGTCAGTTTTCTTCAGCTTGTCGTAATTTTTCTAGATAATAATATATCATCCCTTGGCGCATATGTGTCCGATTTCACTACATTGGAGTACGATATTCCAAGGGCTTGTAAAGCTCTGCCAAATATTCCGACGACGATAAAGACCACCATACCGACAACTTCTGCGAAACCAACGACCACGACACCACCGAGTAATTCGATTTTCGAAAAGGGATAGTCTAATTAATCGATAGCTGTTAGTGTTAGTGTAATAAATTGGTATTTACGAGTTATGTCGTGCGAAAAGTTACAATCACGTGAAACTTTGTAACGAACGGATTTCGTTCTAGCCACGCCACCCACCACCCCGCCACCTGCACCCTGTAAAGCACTGCTCATACTCGATGGCACCTCTTGGGTATCTTACGTAAGTTGAGCGTACTTGGTTTATGCTCTTTGTTGGGTTCTTTACCTATGTACCATCTCAACCACTATCGATACCCATCGTTTTCTTATCTTTGCTTTAAAACATAGCCCCAAACACCTTTTCATTTCAGCCAGCTTTTAACGGTGAGGGCTACCAGATGATGTTCGGCGCTGGCAACATCTTCAAGGATCGTAGTTACGCTTTATCGGCAAACGCTTGGCAGTATAATGGATGGGAGATATCACCCCCTCAAACGTTCGTCTCGACCAAAAATGAGACTCAACAAATCCTCGAGGACATGATCCGATATGAGTTCAATGCTACCTTCAACTCGGATGTCCTGCAGTAAGTACCATGGTGGGCTTTTGAATTTTGGCTCCCAGGGCTACGACCTGGTTGAATGTTTGGCCTGTTGATGATGTGGCGATTGTTATGTATGTGAATAGGTAAGCTATCTAAACATTCTACCATACCTTAAATCTAGTCCGCAGGAGATCATTGACAAAGCGGTGCTCAACTACAAACGCAAAGATACGACAGTTATTGTTGCGATGGGAGGTATGTAGTTTCATCTTTGGCCTCTACGATCGAGTCATCGTTTTAGGACAAAACCTATCCGGTCTCGGTGCCGAGGTGGTAAACAGCAATGCCGATTGGATTGCCTACGGACTAGGCAATATCTGCGCAAAGTTGAATGGTCGTACGATACCTACAACAACTCCGAAGCCAACTACTACTACCCCGACGACGACACCAAAACCTACTACGACCACCACTACGCCTAGTACAACAATAACTGCCACGATTCCTAGTACCTCCCCACATTCCACCCTCGCGCCTGGCCCGCCGTGTCGAACGCTATATGTCGTCGACGGGAGTTTGAATGGAAAAGTACGGAATTTTTGCAACTTTACTTCCGTCTTTAGCTAGTTTTCGAAAAACAGAGGGCAACGATTCGGGACTCCGGGAAAATTCTATACGACTCGAACAGCTACGCGTTTGGTGGTAACTACTGGGTGTATGGAGGGAACTTCCGGCCCGCAGGTAGGTTTCAGCTAGATTTAAATCTAGTCCAAGCCTAAACCTAAGCCTACCCCTGACCTACGCTTAAATCAAACCCCAGGTCTGCGTTCCCATTTCAGACGTTCCCCTAACTTTCTATGCAAATGATGTTGCATTCGGTAATGCTGTGCATGGTATGACATCCCCAGACGGATTCACAACCGGAAATATAGAAATGTAGAGGCCATCGAATTTTAAACCTGGTTTGTTTTCAGGGCAATCGCTTGGCTTAACGACTGGAAGCTAGAAAAAGTGGTGGTGGTCATTTTCACGGCCAGGCAAGCGGAAACTACTTCAAAACTGTAAAATTTCAGCTTACAGCCGAACATCAACAATGCCGGCAAGAACTACACGAGCCAGTGGCGAACATTGGCTGTTGGGTTGAGAGGTAGGAATTTAGGATCTAAAAATTATAGATGTTGATAGATAAAATGGATCTAAGTATGATTGGAAAAGCGTCTTCAATGGATCCAGCGGTACTCGGAAATGATCTCCTAGGAATGTGTCAGCAGCTACAGGGATGGACGACGTTGGGTTGTTTTGAAAAACTTATAGGTTTCTTTAGACACCCTACCACTCTTCCTCCTACTACGGTATTGTTTTGTTGACGTGAAAAATTTAAAAAATTGCCTTGCAGACGCCTTGGACAACACAGCCACCATTGCCACAGTGTGAAGTGTACTTTATCCTTGACGGGTCTAACTACGGCATTGTACGGATTTTTTTTAAGGTTTCTGAGCGGGTTTTTTTCAATTGAAGTGTTTTTCAAAGTCGATTGTTTTTAGAAATACGCAGAACAACAACGGCAAGCCGTTCTGACGGCCGGCAAGAAGATGTTCGCCGAACTCGACTTCTACACGAACCTTTGGATGTATACAAAGAAGTCGAAGGACGGCGAATTATCATACGGAATTATCTATGAAGAGGGCCGATTTGTTAACTTAACGTGGGCCCAGAATTTCACTGGAGGAAGCGATTCTATCGTCGAGTAAGCGTAACTAAAGATCTCTCACCGAAAAATACACCACTTAACTAGCAAATACTTTGATTCAGTGCCATCAAATGGCTAAACGATCCACGACTCTATTCTTGGCCGTTGATGGTGGTTTTTTCAGGGAGGTATGTAATTTTAATTTTAGTGGAATTCGATATTTAGCGACGACGCTCAAATCCGAAATGCCAGCTCAACGTTCATTAGGAAGGAGTTCACGATAGGAGTTTCATTAACAGGTCAACACATTTTTTTGGCAATCGATCATCATTTTTAAGACGCAAGCATGGAACCGATGGCTGACCATATTGCAACTTTGGATAATCTTCCAGACGTTTTATTATCCGTTTGTTTGAATCCGCCTACGCACTACCCGCCACCAGCAACGTAGGATTTAGTAACCGTGCATTTTCTTTCAAATTATGATTTTTTTTAACAGTTTCATTTCAGAACTACAACGGCTACACCAAAGTTAAAACAGAGAAGACCTGAGTTAGCTATACCGGAATTGTAATTTATTAATTTTAGTGTAAATAAAGGTTTCATGGTGTACTTTCGATACCTTGGGACTCTATAAAATACTACCTCACTTCACTAAACAGGCTATACTTCTCGTATGATGCAGTGCACCATAGTTGGTCGGCGTATTTGGCCTCGTAACTGCTTCAGTAGACTCGACGAGCTCGTCTTCGGTATGGATATAATATCGATATTTCCGGAAATTACGTAGGATTAGATGTATCTAAATTAAACGCTTGAAACTCGAATTCAGCCTTACCATTCCAAACGCAATAATAGCTCCAAATATCCATCCGCCGATGACGTCGGTGTAGCGGTGTTTGAAGTCACGAATTCTTCTAGAAACGAGATCAATCAAACAATATAAGTACTTAAGAATTAAACTCAAATCCAAAATATTTGGAAAAAATAGATCGTTGTATCAGTCAAAACGTTAACTTACGTTAGACAAACAAAGGTTGTTAGTAAGAAAATGGTATATTGAGCGTAGGCTCTGACGATTGTCCACAATTTCATTCGTCTATGTAGATAAAGCTAAAACAATAATTGTTACAAGCTCACAAAACCCACGATCAAAAATATAGCAAAATTCGCCGAATGCGCGGCGTGACCGCTCGGAAAGGAGAAATGTTCGTCCTTCGACGTTTCCGCAAGACAAACCACTGACGCTATGTAATTCCGAGAACAGGGAGGGCAAATTTCACTAAAACAACCAAAAATATAGGAAAACTGGGAGGCACCTCAAATTCGCAGGTCTACAAGTGTCCAAAAAATTTGGCCGCAACCTCGAGGACGTTCGTTTGAATATATTTGCCGCTACAGAAGTGGCCAGAGCCGAGCACCCAAACGCCGCTAAAATAAAAAATTTATGAAGGTTAGGGTAAATTCTGTATTACCATAGAAAAACAACACTTTCGGGATGTAGGGGTGCATCTCGAATTTTCGAAAGCGAATAAATTTTATGCGGCCGCCAACGGTTTTCACGAGGGACAGCTCGGTGATGGGGACCTTGATTGGCAAGTTGCAGTTGTCGGTAGATTCAAATTACCTACCATCACGGCCAGGATTACAAAATATATCGTAAACATTAATCTTGAGGGTATAGTGTCTCCACGAGACGGCCATGCTATGTCGGTCTCGTCGCAATTAAAACCCTGAAATGTTTTCTCTTCAATCGCGACGACCAAATATAAATAGATTCCGAATATTTAAAAAAAGGAAAAAAACACGAGGTACGCTTATTTTGAAAATGCTCTACTGTCTATTAATGTGCGGTCCCAGCGGCATGGCAGGTGAAAGTGTGGGAAAACGAAAATGTCAAATTGATCCACTAATGAGTGACTGGGTATGGCTTCGGGTTTCATGGCTTACAACTGCACTTACCAACTCCACATAAGGTATCATCTTGGCAAAATGCCGTGCAACCAGCAAGATCACAATAGAAACATTGACCACTATCAAGTCGTCGATCATCGCTGTAATCGTCCGGCTACCAGGAGCCTAAAATCAATCAATTTTATGCGTTGCAAGGCCTGAAACAGTGAGAAAACGGCTTCAAAATAAAGTCGCCCCACGTGCGGCTATCAGCTGTCAGGGCGGGAAAACAATGGGGCAGACTGTTGAAAGTGGTGGCAGGCTTTGGGCCGCCGGGCAACCCCCGGGCTTCTTCGCCAGCTTATCATTCCTGGTGTCTGTATTTTGAGACAGCACCACGCAGTTTCCGCAGAAAAGCTTCGTCTGTCGCTGAAAAATGGTGTCCGGACTGTGGGTGTTGGAATGGTGCCAATGAGTGATAGTGGGTCGGACTTGGAGACCTAATTCAGGGTTTTCTTGCAGGCTTTCTAGGAAAAATCCTATAGTAGTTGCTTGAGGTTTATTCATTCTAAAGCGTCGTAAAAATAATGCCAAAAAACAGTTTCACGAGAAACCTCTGTGTAGTTTTCATACATTTTTTGAAGTTTTGATCCCACCGCAAACCCACCTTCTAACTCGCAGGCCTACTTGCGGCTTATCTTGCGGTTTATAAGAGCATGTAGAATAATGTCTAAAACAGTTTCGACCGAAGCCCGAGCGTCCCTCGTCGGGTTGCTACGATATTTTGAAGTGGGACTTTTAGGGTTTTTGTTGTGTTTGGTCCACATGGATTTTCTAGAAAAATTTGCCAAAAAATTTGTAATAGACGGCCATTCGAAAGACTAACACAAACTATATAGAAATTTCTTTGGCTCGAGGCCTGGGAGGCCGGGGTGCGCTTGATGTGCTTTTTTGTAGGTCGGCTCTGACCGCCATGCCACCTGCTACTCTGTTTTAGAGAAAAGGGTTGCACATGGGGCCTTTGTTGTTTTCTAGTACCGTCTCGATAGCTCAGCGATACATTGAAGTTCTGGCAACATTCGACTTTATTCCTTCACATATCAGTATTTCCGTTAACATCCATGGCCAATTTCTGCAGTGCTGAGGTCGGGACGTTTAGCTCCACGTTAGTGGGAACGTGACAGGCCGAGATGTTGTTGCAGTAGCAGGTTGTTAGGTTTTTGTGCGTATTACACTCTAGAGGACTTTATTAGCTCAATCAAATTGTTCGTACTTGGGATATTCTGATGGTAAGGTGGTTGGTCCACGCAGCCAAACCAGGTGGCATCGCCTGATGTAGGTGATAGATAGTAGGTATCGGCCGATGAGAGAGAGAGAGAGAGAGAGAGAGAGAGAGAGAGAAAGAACATAGCGTGAGAACAGCTAACGTACTCTGCGCCGTCAATCCCCTCGAACACCAATTCCCCGTACAGCCATCATTGTAGTTGCAGAACTTTGTAAAGCTAGAGTCATACGGCATCGGCACGAGACATTGAAAGCAGAATATTTTAGCCTCGCCAATTCCCAAACACAAAAATATACAAAGTATGGTCTTCATATGATTCTCCGTTCTGTTTCTGCATCTTGCGTCCAGATCCACTCCTCAACCACCACATAACTTTATTGACTATGACAGAAAGAGGGCCAAGAGGGGGAGGATTCCAACAAGTCCGAATTTTTCAGGGATTCCGTTGCAAAAGTCAATGTTGTTGCAGTAGCAGTTGCCGAGGATCGCGTTGTTTTGGTTGGTAACAGTCCGGCAGTCGGCTGAAGCTACAGGATTACTACGAGAATGGGAAACTTACAAACAGCCGAGTTGTCGATCGGCGGGGTGTTTGAGCAACCGCGGTACATGCCGTTGGCTGAAAAAAATATACGACGAGAGATAGAGCGAGAGGGAGAGAGAGAGAGCGAGAGAGACTGTGAGAGTGAGAGAGTGAGAGAGAGTCAGGATAGATAGAGTGAAGGATATAGAGAGTGAGAGAAATATAGAGGGAGACAGATCATCTCACATTTAGCATCCGGTCCTTTCGTACAGTAGTATCCTTGGCAGGTCGTGTTCCGATCTGAACACTCATCGCTGAAGTCGTCACCAGACGCGGATGTTGTGCACTGATAGCAGTTGATCGTGGCTTGAGATAAAGCGCATGCTGAAGCCATCATAATTGGCATTATAAGTTTGTCGTGTTGTTATAAGTAATTTTGATGAGTGTTTTGGCGCGCTGCGTAGCTGTCAAAAAGAATATGTAAAAAAACGTTTTTGCATTTTTGGCCCATTAAATCTTCAGTTGAAGCCATCACTTTGGGCCTCGGAAATACACCTCACACCTCACACCTTGTCAGCACCCTTCAGACGTCAAAACCTGCCCATCCAAACTCACCGAACAAGCAAATTATAAAAATCAGCAGTGACAGCATGTCAGAATCGATTACTAGGCATATGCCGAAATTCCTCGCGAATTTCCAGGCCGTCCGTGGCCGTCTCGCAGCAACCAATTTCTCGTTGCCAGTTGGCGCTGAGGATGCAGGAGCATCCAAGAAATAAGATTTATCGAAAAACACAACAACGAGAAATAGGAATGTCGTAGGGGCCTTTCATTTTTTAGAGGGATCGATACGCAGCTTCAAGCTCTGTCGGGCGGAAGTTGCCAAAGTCGGTAATGATCTAAGGAGAAATAAATGTCTAATTAATGGAAACTTACCTTGGTAATTAATTCTGCCGGGGTAACGTCAAATGCCGGATTCCATACTGGGGTGTTTTCGGGTAGAACGTATTGACCTAAAATATGCCGAGATAACGTGTGAAAGGTCAGAGCAGCGAGAGAGAGCGAAAGAGAGAGAGAGGAGAGAGAGAGAGAGCAGAAGATATAGAGAGGAGAGAGAGAGTAAGAGAGAGAGAGAGCGACATAGTGAGAGAGACACCGGGGCCTAAAGCTCCTTGAGACTCACCTTTGACTTTCAGCATCTCATCAGCCGGTCGTTCTTCAATCGTGATATCCCGGCCGTCATTACGCCTGGGGTTTACGGTAGTGTACGGTACTACAGGATAGAATGGAACCTATAAAAAAATTTCAATGGTCATAAATATCCTGGAACTCACATTATGATGTTTCGCCAGCACTGCCAGCATGTAGGTTCCAATCTTATTAGCTGTATCACCGTTCATCACGACTTGGTCAGCACCTGAAGTTGCAGGTAGAGAGAGCGAGAGAGAGAGAGAGAGAGAGAGAGAGAACAAGACGTACCAACAAGTATCGCATCAATGCCCTTCGTCTTCATCGTCCAGGCAGCCATCGAATCGGTGATCAGCTTGAAGGGGATGTGGCTGTGGCTCAACTCGATGGAGGTCAGCCTTGCTCCCTAAAATAGAGCCTTATTTCGATTCCGATTTTTTAATATTTTTTTTGTTTTGTTTTTTGTGGGTCTTTTTTTTCTGGTTTTTTTTTTTTCCCCGCCCAACCCCAAACCACGGAACCGTTAGGTTTGTAGTATATGGTTGGTAGATCGCAACGAAACATCATTTCTGAACTTTTGCGCGACGGCCTCTTCAGGTGCATACCTGATTGTAGGGCCTGGTCTCCAGCGCGTACACCATCTCGACCTTTCCGGCTTGATGTAGAGCTACGATCACTCCTAATGACGATGTGAAAGAGCCTTAAAAAGTAACCTACCTAATGCTGTTCCCCATGAACAAGTCGCCAAGCTACCAGTGTTGCAAATTGTCATCAGATTTAGTTTTTCCTTTCCAGAACATTGTGATAAGACCTACAAGTTTTGAAACAATGAAAGCTACTATTCAAAAAAGGCTAGACACTTCTAAGCATACCTCTTGGTACCCGTTCCAGACCAACCGTCGATTGTCCTCTTGTTCATCTTCATAAATTTTTAGAATCGTGTGATGAACACTGAAATCAAAATGCTTTGGGTGCTTAAAGAAGAATCATACCTATCCCGTATCTCCTCTACCGTATCCTTGCCCACAACTGAATCCGAAATTTGCTGCATTGCGTTACCGAGGTTGATTGCCGTAGGTCGGGTCAGGATCAGTAGTTTCATCTGAATTTTGGGAACAATTCTCGCTGTTTCTCGTGTCTTTAGCTTTAATAATATAATAAAAATAAAAAGACCCGGCAATCCGCTAAGCTAGTCAGTTTTCATAGCATAATGGATCGCCTCTCCCTTACCTTTGCCGACAAGAATTCCTTTATTTCCTCCGGATTGGAAAACTGGGTCTTAAGAAGCTCTACTCGTAGTCCTAAGGCTCCAACAATTGCGATAAGTGGAGCTCCGCGTACCTGAATACGGCGTTTAATAATTTCGGTAGACGAATTTTTGTAAATAAAGTTTGGAACCTACCTGCATTGAAATAATCACTGCACAAGCGTCATCAACCCCCGAAATTTTTACATATTTCTTTTCGAGTGGTAGCAAGAGTTGATCCAGGATTAGGAAGTGGTCCTTTTCCTAAAGATAAGGCCTTGTAGCTTATTAGTAATCAAATTCTATAAATCTGACATTAAAAATAGATCTTTTGATAATTATTTACCTGAAATAATTTTTTTATAGCATTTCTAGGAATTAGCAAAATTTTTGATTCGTTAATAGTCCAGTTCAGGAACCAAATTTTAGAGAATGCATCTCATTATATCAATTTGACATCCGGAAGCAATACTTTTCACCGTTTCTCCTCCAAACATTATTATTAATGCCTTCTAGACGTTAAAACGGTTTCGTATTGAGCTATAACCCCAGATCTGAGCAAATTGTAACCCGACCAACCTTCTCAAACTCCAACGAGCTCAGCCGGTTGCTCACATCTTTCATAAAATCATCCGGAATCGGTCCGTTGACAATTCCGGATGCCATTTCCCCCAAAAAGTAGAAGCTAGAAAACGAATGGGAATCCCCTCTAGCATTCTTATCACTTGCTATTCCCACGATCTCCCAATTTCCCTGGGTGTTCAATTTGGCGCCCACTATTCGGTGCCCCCAACCGTTTACGGTACCTTTATGGAGTCGACGGGGCCGCACTGCATTAGGAGGGCTAATCCTGTCACTCAGATGGAAGTTTTTGGCATGGGATTTGCGTATTTTGCAAAAAATCACGTAGAAACTCATATATCAAGGTTTTCGCTTTTAATAGATTTTATGAAGGGCCTGAATTTACTGGATTTTACATTTTCGAGCATTTTTTATGAGGATATTTTATGTATTCTCCATCAAAATTGATAAAGATACCCTAAACCAACGCTTAAGCCTAACCCTAAGTCTAACCAAGCCTAAGCCTAAACCTAAACCCAAACCTAAACCCAATTCTAAGCCTAAGCCGAAACCTAAGCCTAAGTCTAACGTACGCTTGACCCTAAATCTGAAGCCAAAGCCTAAGCCTAAGTCTAAGCCGGAGCCCGACCTTAAGCCTGAACCGGAAGCCTAAACCTAAGGCTAAGCCGAAGCCGGAACCAAAGCCTAAGCCTAAATGTCTTCTTCTATCTTTTTTAGTTAAAAACACTCAACATTTTTCATTCCAGAATGTGCGATGCAAGGCTCAACTCGGCGATGTAAAACCTGGCACTTGTTGTTTGTAGTTGTGTTCCTGCACCATTTCGTTCAATTCGGGTCAACCGTACGGGTACGGGGCGTTTGGGATCCAAAGGAGGCTAATGTCAAGGTGAGTTAGGGAAAAAGCCGAAAAATACATTTTTAGATAATCAAAAAATTCGGTTTCCAACAAATCGACCAAAATTTTCCAAAGGCATCACGAGGATTTGTGTATGGGAATATTACCGGGAAGCAGACGAAGGAAGATGGTAAGCGAATTTTGCTCTTTGCTCCGTTTTCTTGAATTTTAAAAGGGTAATAAATTTTGTAAAAGTTTTCACATAATTTTTAGTAATATAAATGGATTAATAGATGCCATATTACGGCTAAAAAAGAAAATAACTTACAAAAAACGGTAACAACTTGTAATTCCAGATGTCCTTACCTTCATCGTCGTCCCGGCTGCAAAAATCGGGGCCCTGCACTCGGATTCGGAATATGGAAATTCTTGCGGGGTTATGATGGAGGTAGTATTTTACTCTTCATAAATTAAACTATGAATTTCCGAATTCGAGGTATTAAAATTTAAACGCAAATTTCAGAAAATAGCAGCAAACGGTTACGACGCGAAATGCAACACAAAAGGCCAGGCCGACATTTTTCGATGGGTCCCTTGCCCGGCCGGAAAACTATGTGAAGGTATGGGATTAAAAATACGAAAATATGCAATAAAAAATTTAGAAGAGGAACCGGTGACAAATTCATCCACGTTACTACCCGACTCGCAGCTAACCTTGCAAATTATCGAGCCAGAAACGCCCGAATATTGGTTTGTGAAATTACAATGTTTAAAAACGGGAAGATATAGGTACCTCGTGCTCATATCTTGTCATTTGGATGAGAATTGCACTTGGGTGGCTTCAAAAACGGAGTCGAAGCTCAGCTACGATTTGTGGTTGACGAATGGGAATCCGACTTTTCAAGATCGGGACCCGTTCCGGTTGCAATTCAGCTTTGACGAGCAGGTAAGCCAAGCCTAAGCCTAATCCCAGCCTAAGCCGAAGCCGAAGTCTATGCCTAAACCTAAGCCTAGCATGTAAGCTTAGACAAGCTCAGCATTCAGCAATCAACTTTCCTTCCAGGACGCTACTCAAATGTACCTACTCACGCTTGTCGCATACACCATCTTATGCGGTTTAATCTATAGAGGCAAAGCAATTCAAAAGAAGCATTATGTAAGCTCCTGTTTATTCTTCTAAAAACCATACCTTAAGTCCCCCAGCCGCCTCAACCTCCTCGCCTATATCGCTTACCTAAAAACGGCCGGAGTTGCCCTTCAATCTCTCAATATGCTTGTATTCGCCTCCGACGGAGAAGGCGTGTTTCTTGCTAGGCTGATTGGAGAGGTTCTGAGGTACCACATCTGAAGGGTACAATAGCCAGGTCATTTTTTAGAATGGTGGGCATCGATCTGTTATGTTTGCTGCTCCTGCTCCTCGCGAGAGGCTGGGCCTTCAACAACGGGGAGACAATCACCAAGTGCTTCTTCTTTAGCTGGATGCTCTTGAGCGCCATTAAATTCGTGTTGTTTTGCTGTAATTTTGTGAGTTTTTCGAGTACGAATGAGTACATGGAAAATGGTATTCCGCGGTAAATGGTAATACAAAGGTTACTGTAACTTGTATCGACTCGTGTGTCGCAATTTTTTGCCGAAAAGTGGGGTGTTCCACTAAAATTAGACAATTTTTGTGAATTTGTTTTAAATTACAGTACGCGATGATACGGCAATACGTCAAAAAATGAAAATAGTTAATCTTGATCCGTTTTCAATTCCGATATTTTCAGATCTTTGTCTACGACATCGTTCATGACGTCGACATTTTCATCAGTTGGCCCGGCTACGGTATGCTGGCCATACGTATCATTTTTGCGCTGTGGTTCCTGCTAGAAGTGCGATGGCTTATTAAGCGGTAAGTTACTTCGGATAACTTGCTTTCCGTAAGTACCGTATACCTTAAGTACCGTTTGCCATAAGTATCCAGATACTATACTTCGCCAACCACCCCGGGTGACCACCCCAGGGGGTTGGAGGGTGGGCGGGGGTGGTTGGGGTGGTCGTGGGGGGTGGTTGGGGTGGTCAGAGGGGTGGTTGGGGGTGGTTGGGGTGGTCAATGCATTAGCCACCCCACCCCACCCCTTACAAAATTTTTTCTTGATCTGGCAATGAAACTTTTTGGTCTTCCGGCTACATTGTCTTTGAGGGACCATATCTGACTCGAACAAGCTTTTATTGCCAAATCATGAAAAAATTTTGTAAGGGGTGGGGTGGGGTGCTAATGCATTGACCACCCCCAACCACCCCAACCACCCTCTGACCACCCCCAACCACCCCCACGACCACCCCCAACCACCCCCGCCCACCCTCCAACCACCCCTAGGGGTGGTACCACCCGGGGTGGTTGGCGAAGTATACCAGATACCTATCCACTTTTCCAGTGAACGCTGCCACGAGAAAGCCGTTTTCCTCGCGCATTTCGGGGCCGGCTTCCTGGTGTGGTTCGTCTACCTACCCGGCGTCGGTGTCGTCGCGCATTTCATATCAGTGCTATGGAGATTTAAGATCATATTAGGTTTATTTTACCCATTATTCAAAAACATAATGTTTTAGGTATCAGAACGCTAGCCAACTTTGCCGCCATCGCCAGCCTTGTCCACCTGTTCTGGCCGTACAGCCAGTACAAGAAGTATTTTGGGGTCGATTTCGGGTGGGTCACTGTAGTTATAACTGTAATATATTGTTTTAGCCATATCCGGACCGGGCGTACCGACTCGAACGAGCTGGAAGACTTTGAAAAGCTGCTGTTTGATGCCAGTGACTCGGAGGGCGAGGGTGATACCTCACCTCGAGGTCGTGTTTTTAATGAGATTTGATATTTTGATATAGTGCCATGATAAAGTATGTAAATATATTTAAACGGAATATCATTACGCTGATGACTGCGCTATAAGCTACAAACTACAGCATTAAATCCATTTAAAATTACATTAAATTTTAGCGTTTTAGCGATGTTTTGATTGGCTTTTTGTGCCTTTTTGGGCAGAACTTCCCGAAAAGAGCAGTCTAACAAAAAAAAAAGCCACTCCATCAAACACTAATTTGTGAAATTTACATAAACCTGGCAGGCACACAAAGCGGCGCGTTATTCGAAAAAACACTGAAAGATTTATGAGCCAAAGACTGGAGGTGAGGGAAGATTTCTCGTGGCGTTTTTTGTTCTTTAAGCGCCAGCTCGAAGTCCGGATGACTGAATGTTTGATTCCTTGCTAAATTCCTCACTAATCTTTGCTGGTTTGCCTCCTGGCGAAAAAGTTTTAATTTGAAGATACGAGAACAGATACTTGCTTTTTAGAGCCGAAAGTTAGGGTATTACGAGGCAAAAACCCATTACTCCCTGCAATCTTGGAAGTACGAAGCAACACGTTAACGTTACGTTCCCGCTGCCTGACATTAATACGTGAACCATTGTCTACGACTTAACGAAATAATCAAATTTTTAAGACAATCTCAAACCGCAAAATTGACGACCTCCCGCGTCTAATGTCATCGGATAATCTCGACCTCCTGTCGAACCAGTCCCTCTCATTTGAACGCCTCATTTTCCGAAGCCAATTCGCCCGCTTGTCGCCTCCGAATAGATACCCTGCCGTCCATCTCAAAGCGCCGCAATCGCTGCGAGCCGGTAATTATTCTGACATGCTGACATGAGACCCCGATTTATGGCTGGCCGCCAATACTCTCCATCGCTCTATAGGGCCAAAAACGATGGGCTTCAGATGAAAAGAAGACCGATTGAACGGGTGCACAAAATGCCCACTTAAGGGAGGCTGAAATGCAGGAACGTTCGGACAAAAAAAAGAGATGCAATATGCAGAGCTAGCCACATTTGTCTCGGGAGGGTCTACACGCTGTGGGGTGGTCATTTTCCTGCAGTCCTTTCGGATTTTGGGGTAAAGCGGAAATGTTGAATTTTTGCATTTTATATCTACGTTTTGATTTAACCTAAACTGTAACTCTATCGCTGCCTATCCCCTCGCGCCCCCCCCCTCTCTTTCTTCTCTCTCTCCTCCCTCTCCCTCTCCTCTCTCTCTATCTCTCTCTCTTTCGCCAAAACCTATTCCTAAGCATATGTTTAAGCCTAGGCTTAATCCGATGCCCAAGCCTAAGCCCAAGCCCTAACTTAAGCCTAAGCGTAAGCCTAAGCCTATGTCTGTCCAGGCCGAACCCTTCTAATCCCTTCGTAAGCGTTCAAAGTTCTGGCTCCTCCTGCGCGTGCCAGACACCATACTCCGTTAATAGGATGCGTGCGGAAAATAGCCCTACTCCCCGGCTGGTGATGGTTGTCTTCCCGGGCGAATATATTGAGGAATCCAATTTTCCTGGCCTCCTCCTCCTTCTGCTCCGCCTTCCACATCACAGGAGGTGGTGGTGTGCTGATTTCGGGACGATGGCCATATTACTCTGTACCTCTCTTTCACTGTCTCTCCACCTCTATCTTTATCTCTCGCTGTCTCTCTCTCTTTCTCTCTCCTATTTATTCCTTCAGCTTCATCGAGACTATCGGCTGCTCAGATGCGCCTAGATCTATCTGTTTTGCTTTTCATGCGGCTATCATGACGTTTTTCTGTTATGCAAAACATCTAACAAGTGGCAAGTACACTTAATTTTCTAACAACATCAAATTTTATTTTTCTTTTTGTTTAGAAAATTTGAACGTAGCATCTACCAACAAGGGTAAGAACTCTAAGTGCCGCGAGGATTTATATCTTCGTGCGGAAGGCGAGTCTGCCTTTTGCAGAGGGTTTCTCGTCGTAATGCAAGCTTTGTTTGAGGGTCTAGCCTTTGCAAATCAATTTTTGAAATTCTAAAAATCAAACGCAAAATAATTTATTTAGACACGCTCAAGGGTAGAAATTTATTTTTTCTGACTCATTGCAATGATTGTCAGTCATTTCCCGGAACTCGTATCGCTTGTTTCTTACCACTCTCCGATTTCAACCCCGACTTCCGGTCATTTTTTCCTACTCCACCTTGCCGGGCAGCATCAGCCACAACCTCCACCCCACTCCCCCGCATAACAACAATTTACCTTGACGCCCCGGGCTCCACATCCCGGTCGGGCACACCTTTGCTGGCAACCGGGAGCAAGGAAACAATATTTTTTTGGCTTCTAAATGGTTTCACGTTTGGATGTGGTAAAAACTAACTGCCGAGATGAATCCAGGTTTATGCAACTTTGTGCCAAAGTTGTACTGATATCTAGAATGCGGTAGCTTTATTTACAAACCTGCTATGGAAATCATCATAAAAAAAGCTAATTTCCGGAAAAGTTACGACATTTCTTCCTAGAATGAAAGAAAATTACGGGAGTTGATTTTAATTTCCAGTTCACATTCAATTCATTTGAAATTTGAAAACCAATGGAATTCTTCGATCTAAAACTTCTGCCAATAATCAAATGGAAATTTTCTGTGTCTAAAAAGATGATTATAGTTGATAGTCAGGTGAAAAATTCCAGAAAAGCCAATTTCCGGAGGTATCTCTAGCTCGAGAAATGTTTGTGCTAAAATGGGATCAAATCTTACCCGAAGGTAAGTATTTTGCGCCGCACAACGGAAATTACATCGAATCATCAATTTCCGGTCACAAAATCCTCCCAAGAATTGCAAAAAACATTATTCACCCTCTACCCGTTGAAAAATTGCCCCGCTCATCGTCGTCGCCATCACGTCGTCTGGCTCTCAGCCCGCGCGTGGCCTAGGATATCTGATGGAAAGTGGCCGCTCGGCAATTAGCCCCAGGAAATGGATCACGCCTCGGGGCCAGCCAAGATCTTTCTGGACTTTAGTCAACTTTCTTTGCGTTTCGATGCTCCTTGCAAGTGAAGAAGCCTAAGCCTAAGCCTAAGCCTAAGCCTAAGCCTAAGCCTAAGCCTAAGCCTAAGCCTAAGCCTAAGCCTAAGCCTAGGCCTGGCGGCAATTTTCAAGGCAAGTCAAGCCCAGCTCTGGAGCAACCTCATCCACACTAGTGAGCCAGGGAGGTGGCGAATGGGAAAGCATTAAACACGTATCCTACTATATATAAAAAAATAGTGTCTGTGTGTGTGTGTGTGTGCCACTTTGCATGCAACTTCCGTCAGGTTGTTCCAGTCGTATCTCGGGAAAGTAGTTAGGGGCATGTTTGATACGTCATTAGGAGCGTAATGGTCTGGAGATGACTGCACGCATATCAGATTTAGCAAAATCGTCTATTTTCGACTTTAAATTTAAGTTTTTGTTGAAAAATCCGAGCCCCTCTTTGTTAGGAATCCATTAGCATACACCGGAAGTGGCCGTAGCCTATATAAAGGAGAAGAACGCGCATTTCTCATTGTTTTTCAGCCTCGGTGGGGCACAATTATGCAAAATGAAGAACATCATAGGATGAGACGGGGCCAGGGTTGAAAAGTCGCGAAGCGGCTTTTCAACCCTGGTTCCTTTTAACCACTTCCCCTTGCAGTCGATCAGTATCGGCAATTATTTTTGTCCAGCAACCCCCCACTTTGTGCCCTTTTTTACAATGGCCCCCGCTGGGAAGTGGCTGACAGTCGCCGCCCTAGAAAATCGTCCGAGACTTGCCTCCCGGGTCCTGACACGATAACTACCATTCTTTCAACGATTTTTGATACTTGCCAAACAGGTATAATTTTATTGAGAGTGTATTTTGGTGAAATCAAAACGCAGATGTAGGGTGGAGAAGCCGAAAGGGTATCTTGGGTCATCCCATTTTGACAGGTCGTTGTGAGGGGGCTGGATGGGTTATTGGGTCAGCGGCGGGGCGGATGTGGGTGGTCTGTGATTCTTTGAGATTGTAAAATTTGGTTATGGAACTTGGCTTTCTGTATTTCTCTCGCTCCGCTCCCTCTCTCTCAGTGTCTCTCTCTCTCCCTCTCTCTTTCTCTCTCTCTCTCTATTCCCCTTTCTCTCTTTCTCTTTCGACCGTAAAAAGTATCGACGCGTTCTCACCTAGCCCCTAACTGCACCTCCCACATAAATGTTACATCCCCGGAAAACAGGGTAATTTGCATCCCGGGGAGAAGGAAGTCTGACGTGCCAAAGTTAGTCGGAAGGATAGGAATGCCTTGAATCGATGCCGATGATCATTCACGGAGAGAACGAGACAGAGAGAGAGAGATAGAGAGAGAGAGAGAGAGAGAGAGGGCGAGAGAGCGCGCGAGAGAGAAAACGAGAGAGAAAACGAGATAGCCCTCCTGACAACGTAAAATCATCTTCTTGCCAGTCCCAAGTTCAAACTTTGCCACAAATTCGGCGTCTCCTAAATTCCTCAGTGTTCTCCCCGACATCCCTAATATCATCTACCCTTGCTGCCCAGTTTGCCCTTCCGATAGTATCCGTTTTTTCTTTGTCTCCCTTTGCGTCTGTTCGTCACCAGGAGAGGACACGTCTTCTTCTCCTGCCTTAGAAGCGACGTCTTCTGCTGCTTCTTCTTCTCCTCCTTCTTGTTCCCCCGGCCTAATGCAGGGATCCCCTCAGGCCTTCTCCACGCCAAATCACGTTATCCATATCACTGCAGCATGAACGCCCGGGGCGCCACAATTCCCCGCCGCCGCACTGCTCACCTAGCTTACCAGATGGAGATGCCGCTTCAAAGCCCCGAGCCGCGAGTTTTCGTGAAAACGAACGTCGTACTTCATCTATTTTTGGGCGCGAACGGGGGAATCCAGGGGGTTTGTCAAGCAAGATTTTGGAAGTGGAAGCGGAATTTCGGGCTCGTTTTTCTTACGATTGCTACCTCTGGTTCGCTCGCTCTCGATCTCGCTCTCTTTCTCTCTCTCTCTCTCTCTCTCTCTCTCTCTCTTTCTCTCTCTCTA